CTCTTTTGTTAATTTTTCCTTTGTTTTCGTTCATTGATTTTTTTAGTTTTCATAACTATACTTTTTCATTTCTAGAATTTCTAACTCATTATTTTATATTCAATTTTGTTTTAATATCTGACTGTTTTTGTTTCAGAGTATCTTGTTCTTCTATTATGGGCTTTGGATTTTCCCTTATCTCTGATTATCTCAGACATATTTATGATAGTCATTTTCAGATTGCTTTACTTAATTTCACTTCAGATAGAGTACATTTATGTCTTGATTTTTAGTATCTTAGGATTTATTTTCCTCATGTGTTTTGAAATTTTAGATTGTACTCTCACCTGGAATTGGAGATTTTTTTGCCAAGGGGTGGGGGCAGAGGGCTTTATTTTCCTTGTTTTGTTCTTTCTTCTGTTTTCTTTTATCCTTAACAATCTTGCAATGACTTCCACATGAACTCACAGAGTCTCCAGTCCAGAACCAGTCTCCTGTTGTTTGATCAGGTTCACGTTAGCTCTTATGGAGATACAGTGGCTTTCAGAGAGGCAGCTAGAAAATCAGGTAGGGGGTGGAGTGTGGTTCCTGACCACCCTGCCGTGTCTAATTCCTTGGCCCCAGCAGCACTTGGCTATAGCATTTTCAGCTTTCTTTTACAAGAAGGGAGAACCCCATCCCTGTTACTTATTTCGGGTAGACTTCAAACTATGGTACCCTTCATGTCATCTCTGTGGCTTCATAGAAATGAAACTTGTGGCCGTCTCTGCATGCATCTGCACCAGAATCCAGGAGGAGCTCTGTAGCTTCAGCCTCACTAACTGCTTTCTATTTCTTCATTGTTATGTATATGTTAAAAATGTGTGTGTGTGTGCTATTTGTTTGGTAGGGTGTGCATATATTTGTTTAGTAGGAAGAGATTCTCGATGTGTATAATTTAAGTCAGAAAAAATTGTAAAAACATACATTTCACTTCTACAGTACAAAGGGTACTTTTTCATAGTAGAGATGAAAACTAGAGAATTACTATTGTTTCCTTTAAAATAGAGAAGATCATAAACATGAAGAGACATTGTTTAGGTCTCTGTCAAAAGAAGCAGCAAGCTAAAGATAAGATATATTTTTTTTTTCCATTTTCAAAGTATAAATTGCCCATGGACAAAAAGGAAAATATCATCAGCTGATTCCTTACAATGAGATAGAGTAAGCTGTCAAGTGCTTGCCATCTGGTTCAGCTCCTAATCCAGATGGGCTGCCAATAGTAATTTATGAAAAGTTTGAAAGCAACTTGCTGTTCTCCAGAAAGAACTATTAGAACACGTTAACATTGGGATTTGCTTCCCTCTCCCAGCCCCAATTTGTGACAGATGCAAAGATTGGGCAACTGCTTCCATACAGCAAATGAAACACTCTGTTTTTGAGCCAGAAGTCAATATGTATCAGCAATTTGGGGGGAAAAATCAATCATTTTCTTCCCCCTTCCCTCCCCTCTACTGGCTCAATGAACAAGGGAGAAAATGGTCCCATGATTGAGTTTCTAACAAATGTCTGAAGAAACCTTCATAGTCTGTCATTTCTGAGTATCTGTGATGGTTGGAAAAGTCAAAGTCAACATCAAGGACAATATGGTGAACCTCACACTCACACTACAGACAAGTACCATCTAATCCATTCTTATAGAGAAAGCCCAAAGGTCAATAAGTATTTCCAATGAAATTACAGAGCCACAGATTCTTAGGCCTAGATGTCTAGTCCACTGTGAGACCCTCTCCCACCTAATCAGGCAACACATGAGCAGTGTGACTTCAGAATCAGAACAAAATGACAAGGCATGTCTTTCAACAAGTCTTTGTTACTCATTCTTAGTTCTTGTCTCATCATTTATTTAACATGATTATGAAGTAATGGGACTCATTCCTGGATGACTGATGGAAATCTATTAATTTATTTTCAGTTCATGTAAGAATTGCTGACAGAGAGTGAGGTCATATTTTCCCTTTGATCAAACCATCTGCTTTACAAGCTCTGAGAAAATTGCCAATATGCATGCTATACATGTTTTAAAATGTTCTAGATGGTTCAAAAGAAAAGTCTGAAATCAGTGTATAAAGTTTCTAACTGAAAATGATGGCATCAAGGAGGGTTGTAACCTGTAGATTAGGTTTTCACTAAGAACGAATGGAGAGGAAGTGGCATGGGGTTGGGAGTGTGACAGATATATTCCAGTTGGGAATCAGAGAGAGGGAAGAGATTAATGCCGGAGCAGAAGGAGATGATCTAGCTGAGGACATAGAGGAAAATAGAAGCTAGCTAGAATAAGCAAGATCATAGAAAACTTCTCGTTCTGAGGAAGGATTCCAAGTCACGAGAGTGGAGAACACAGTGGACAGGCAACAACGCACAGCGGAACAAAGCAATTTAGTCTGTCTCTCTAAGGCTTTAAATAGAGGAGAGAAGTGTCAGTCCACCTAACCATAAGTGTTAAACCATCAAATAATAAATTGGGCAGTCTTTGGATGGCCTAAAACTTCTATAAATGAGCAAAGGGCAAAGTCGCCATTTTTTTGAAAACTGCTGGAAACTGTAACGAGTGCCATTTTATACAGTAACTGTGCTGTGTCCTTCTTGTTCCATAATGTCTTTTTCTCCCTTAAAAATTGATCAAAGTGTGTTTTATTTCATTTGAAAATATTCATTAATTTCCTACTTATAAAGCTATGTTCTCAGTGCTGTAGAGATACGTGAATAAAAGAATGCTGTCCTTTCCCTTAAAGAATTTATCATGTGATTGGTATTCACAAGACACAAATCACCACAACATGAGACTGACTCCCAGATCATTGAAAAATCAAAAATGAATAGTCCTTTCAAAGACAGAAAGAGAGAGAGGTCCTATTTGGTTGGTTGTGATTCATCCAAATTAAAATCGTAAGTTGCCTAAGAGCCGTGTTTTTATAGAAAGAATGATTGTTTTGGTTTTGTTTCCCTATTTTCTTTCTCTGGGCTGGTACTATGCCCCTCTAGTGGCCACTTTGAAAACTACAGACAGATTGTATTACCTAGAAGTCAGCCAGTTTCAAAAGAACATGCCAGCCAGGCTAATCCTGTTTCCATCAACTCCAGGGAAAGTGACATTTTAGAGGAAGAATAGCCCCACCCCCTTTCATGTGTTACAAAACCAGTAAAGTTATTATGAGCTGATAAAGTGTATTGATTCTGAGATCAGATGAACAGGTACAAATCCCAGCTCTGCCACTTAACTATGCCCTGGGCAAGTAACTGAGCTTTTCTGTTCCTCAGTTTGCTCGTCTGAAAAATGGAGATGACAATTATACCCAGATCATAAGGTAGTTATGAGAATTAGAAAAGAGACAAGTTAAAACATTAAAAATGGTGACTTGTCATAGAAAAGTACTCAATAATTGTTCTTTGAAAATGGTTACCCATTTACTTTTATAAACTGTTCTCTATACTGTCTTTCCACAATGCTTATTCACTTTTTTTTTATTTGTCTTTCTCATTCCAGATTTGCTTATTCTATAGAAAACTTGGAACCTATAAAAGATAGGACAACTGGGCTTTTAAGTGCCTTTTTAGCATATAATATCTCAAAGTCTAAAACCTAGTTAAAATATGATGAGTATTACCAATATACTGCCTTTATAGAATTTGTACACGTAATCATCATAAGAATTATTTCTATAACTCTCCTGATTTCTTGATTTTACTCTTCACTGTCTTCAAGTTATTAAAATACAAAACTAATTGTTTTAAGTATAATGTCTATAGAACAAACATAATGTGTCAGGAATAAGGTTTCCCTCCAATTAAACTTCTCTGAGACTCCAGTGGTACCCACAGGACACAATTGAATCCCATGCTTATTTGACTAGATTCTCGAGCTGCCTGACAAACTCTCACCTCTTTAGCAGCCTCATTGTCATTCTCGTGAAGTTACTTTAACGCTCCATCCTTTGGGATCTTGCCCTCATTTCATTACTAATTAAATTCATTTTTACAGAGTCACAAATTAATTATTTGAGGTAAAACTACTGAATTTGTACCTCATTCCAACACCTTTTTTAGCTCTTGGTGATTAAATTTAAGAGTTATCATTTTAGTCTTTATTAATATTAGAAGGAAATGACTGACAGGAAATTAAAGTTTTCGACTTCTTACCTAGTAGGAGAAGCTCTGTCTTAGGAATGGGTTGCAAAATTTTAAAGTGCTCATTTCATCAGGAATGTTCTTTTATTGTCTTGCATTGCTAGTAGGCCTAAGTTGTAAATGGTTAAGCAACTTGCTAAATCTAGCTTTAGACTGGAGCAAATGGGTTCCAACTCTAAGTTCATTTGTTGCTTTAAAGGCATTTTTATTTTATGAGCTCTCTTGTCATTTTCCTTTTCCCCATAAGGCCAGCACAGGTGAAAAATGACAGTGTGAGACTTGGTTTCTTTTTTTATGAACAAGTAGTACATTAGATTCCTAATTGTTGGCGACAACGCGGTTTTTATCTAATGAATGCAGCCTTGAGCATTCATAATTGTCGAGAATAAGGTTCTTAGAATTACACCAATATTTTACCCTATTGGATTAGTAATATTTCGTTAATTGGCAGATCCACATTTTTATTCAAAGAGCATCTTTAGATAAATGAAGCTTTTAAATAACACCCCCAGGAAAACTCTTGTCAAACACACTGTGTTTTTTCCCATAAGGTTTTCAAAATATCTTAGAGAAATATTAAAAAGTAAACCTTTAGAAAAGAAGATTAGACCTGGTTGCAAAATCCATAACTCATCTTTTCCCTCAGGACTGACTGACTTAAACAAAAGAACATAATTTGGTTTTTCTCTCTGCTGTACCATGACTATAGCTACTTAACTTCTATTACCCCAAAGCCTGAAGCGTGATGACTTTTATCAACTCAGACCTCTCATGAAAGAGCAGATCCATTTACCTTGTTCCTGGGGCTCCTATGTGGGGATGGAATGGGCTAACATTTAGCTTATTTCATCCAGCTCTCAGGTGATCGGTATCCATGAGATGATGGGATGCATTCAGAGACGAGTGGATCATCTGACCCAACAGTGTTCAGCGCACAAGGAATTTGCTCTTAAGAAACAACAATTAACGGCCTCAGTGGAGGGCTACTTACAGAAGGTAGTTTCATAAAATGCGTCCTCCTTAAGCTACTATTTAATTGAATTCATTATTTGGTGATAACTGTACGGCAACTGCAACATGTGGGCCTGGGGGGAGAACGGAGGCATGTTCCTTAGGCTTCTCTTATATCCATATTAGGTTTCGTAATTGAACAGAACAGAATTGTAATTCACTATTGCTCATCACCCATCCCTTCCCCAGGTTGCTAGCACTTGATATGTAATCCTACCTGCCACCCAACCCTGAACATGTATACACAAAGGCATTCCTCGCTTTCTGCAGAACTATATTATCTGAACCATGTGTATATTGTGACAGTGTCCTTGATTTACATGGTTCTGTGTATGGTTTCAGTATGCACAAATTTGTTAACATGGTACCATACAATACAAGGACAGCAAATGTGTCAATACCAAAAGTGATGAGTTTTATTGAACTAGGCCACTGCAAAGGACATGCTCATTCTGAATGCAAGCACACATATGAAAATCCTCTCTACAGAGTGAATACATGGTATAGGAAAATCTTATCTCCTGTTTTCAAAGAGGAATAAATTCAGGCAGCTACCATTTGAGTAAATAAAAAATTACTTACCTGTAGGCAGGACAGATAGCAAAGTACTATCTCAAGGACATTAACGTTAATGAACCTTGTTACATAGACTGGGTCTTAGATTTTCAATAATTTTTCATTTGATGCAACAGGCTTCTAAGCCTGATTTACATATGCAGAATTAGTGAACTTCACAGGAGAGATCATTAAATAGCTATGTTCTATCTAAATTGCCTCTCTACCTGTTATTGATACAGAAACTTGGGAATTTGAGCCTTGTTCTGATGCTTGAGTCCAGGGAGGCTCCAAATGTGGTGGCAGCTGTAGTGCCACGTTCCCTAGAGCTTGAGAGTCAAGCTAACTTTCTGGTGGTGGTAAACACAGTAGGAACTCAGATAGCTGTTGCTATTATCTTGCCTCCAATTCAGAGCCAATCTGATGCTGGGAAGTATGAACTCTAGTTAGAGCCCGGGAATGAAGGCAGTAACTTGAATGGAATGGAACCTTTAAAGGTCATTTATTCATTGATTCATGTGTATCAAAGGTCAAATACAGTCTTCTACATTTATCAATTAAATTGCCTAGGTGTATTCCTGTGTTTTATTACCGCATGTACAAAATTTGGTGCTGCCCCAAGGTCCCCAGCCCAAAAAATAGCAACCCTTAAGTGATCTAGTACCCATGCTCTGGACTTCTACTTCAAAATGTGCCTGTAAATTTGGCCCCATTTAACTTACAGTGAATGATTATGACTTAAATAATCAGATAAATTAATCTCTGCTGATGTGTTGGCAAGTGCATTATCCTTTCTAGGTAATGTAGATAATAAGTTCTTAAAGGACGTGGATGATTTCTTTTATCTCATTGCTGTTAAAAAAAAGAAATATCTCTAAACACATACCCTCTGTGAGTCAGTAGTATTACCTCATATAGAGAGCAGTGTTCGTAATTTAAATATAAAATTCTGAAACATTTAAAACTATTTTTAGATTAAAATTGGTGTATAAAATATAACGGGAATGTAGAGAGTAATATTTATCTTCTCTATGCATAGGCATACATATATGCAAATACATATTACTAAGGCCACCATATATTCTTTATTCCTAAAGGTGGAAATGTCAATTCAGAAAATCAGTCCAGTACTTTCCAATGCAATGGATGTTGGTTCCAGCCTTTCTGAGTCAGAGAAGATTTTAAGTAAATATTTGGAACTAGATATCCAAGCTAAGGTAAACAAAATAAGAATTGTTATTATAATTATGATTTTGTAAAGATTTCTTTATATTTAGTAGCTGTAAAACTTAATCCTAGCTCTCTTGAGGGTTGCGATTCTAAATTAATATTGTGGCAAATAATGACTTAACAACTCCTACTCTTGTGTGTATCTAAATGATTTATATTTATATGTGCATTTATTAGGGGATTCGAGCTCACTGAAACTCAACATTCAAGCCTGGTATTTAACAGTCACTTGACTCCTTTTCTTGGCCTGGAAGATGTTAGCAACTTTTTGTCTGGGGGTGGGGGGTGGGGACCAGAATGAGAGCTTCTCTAAGACTATTTGTGACTTTCTGCTAGAGTAAGTTACAAAAGAAAATTACCAGAAGCAACATGCATCGACGCAAGGTACTTGGAGGTAAATAAAAACACAATGTTTGTACATCAAAACTTCAGAGACAAAATGCCCCTCCTCTCTCTAGCACCTTCTCTAGGTCCCTCTTACCCCTTTCACATGGGACTTAGGTTCAAATATTCCTGCTAGCAACTCCAAACCTGCACTGAGTCCCAGTCTGCTTCAGCAGGTGTTTAGTAAAATGAGTCGAGTGTCCTCTGGCTCTCCCAGGTCTGCAGGCAATGGCCTTGCCTCCGCATCAGTTCTCAGCAGAAGAGCCTCCTTCACAGATACGCACCCCACCCACCCCAAATTCACAGATAAACCGATTTTTTTAAATGGGGCGCTTTTTATTTATTATTTAAAATATTTAAAATAAAATGACTGTCTGAATTCAATTACATTTTTTTATTTTAAAAATTTGAGATGGAGAAGCTCCCTCTTTTCCTTCTTCCCAGAGTGCTGTCTGGAAGCAGCACTCTTAAATGAAAATTACCTTCATTCAGCGAGTACTTGGGAAGCATATTAAACAAATGTAGGGAAGTCATCCCTTCTCGCTGCAGGTGTGAATGAAGCTTTTTTCCTTTCGTTTTTGCTTGACTCCTAGTTTGGTCTCACATGAAATTTTGCACAGTTCTTTCCTTGGCAATCGTGTATGTAATGCCTACAATACCTACTCCTCCATTTAGTCAGTGGTTAGATTTCATGTGTCAGAAATTGCACTCAAAAGAAAATATAGGAAAACTACCTTACGCAAGTCAAATACACTGACTCTTTAGGCTATTTAGACCTAATATGTAATGTTTCCCTGGCACTTGTTTAAAAACCCTTCTACATAGAGATTTAAGTAAGACTGCATAATTTTATAAATTAAAAAATGAGTACACAATTTCTATAAGCTTTCCACCTCATATATAACAAAATCAGTTTAATAACTTGTGAGCACTATTGTTAATCTCATAAAGCAATTCTAATATATAATTATTTAAGTTATTTAAAACATTTCTGTCATTTTGTTTTACCACCCTTCCTACCAAACAAATTTTCTTCTATTTGTGACAAGAAAATAGTATGCTAAATAAGAAGTGTAGCTGATGATAGTGAAAGAATTTGAGATGGTTTTTATTTTAAGATCTTTTTCTTTAATTTTGAAAGTTGTGCCTTATCGAGGAGAATCATGGTACAAGTTCAATAAATAATCATAATAGATGGATGTACAGAAGGTAATGAAATATGAATATTCATGATTCCCTGTTAGCTTCTGACCCCTTATGTTTTGCTTTTATAGGAAACATCACATGAATTAGAAGCAGCTGCAAAACTTATGAAAGAGGAAAATGAACTTGAATCTGATGAAGTAGCATCACTTTCTTCTAAAGCTAAATGGCTAGAAGAAGAATTAAGCATACTTGGCCAAAGGATCAGCTCCAGGTCACAAGTCCTTCAAACTTATGTGGCATTTCTAAAGCTATCGGAGGAGGTATGGTACCTATGTGCTAGCCTTCATCAGCAAGGTGGCCTCTGCCCATCTTCCTGCTTTCTATGGGGTTGGGAGCCCTGGTGGGTCATTCCATATCTTCCACCCCAGTGTATATGCTCACTTATAGATCCTTTATTCACCAACATACTATCCAAGGACTAAAAGAGCAAGTTGTTTTACCAAAACATAATGCAGTATGTGTGTGTAGATATATACACACAAAAAAGCAAAGTGATTGTGTTTAAACACTTTTTACTATGGCCTATAAATATTTACACTATCCTATATGTAGAACAAAATTATTTAAAATAAGTCATCTTCTAAGCCCTGGATCTCTTTGAATACCTAAGCAATTCAGGGATTCATTTAAAATACACAGAATCTGAAATTAGGGCCTTTGGGGTCCATTCTCAAATCTGTCTTGTTTGATGCTTTTTAACGAGTTACCTCAGAGAGCTTCTTCTGAGGTGCTATTTTTATGAGGTTGTACAAGACAACCTATAAAATTCTCTCTAGTAGACTAGGATTTCATCTCTCAAAGGTCCCAATGCCTTGAAGATGATGTCAGTATTATAAAAGTGCTAGAGTCCCACCTCTTTTAATTCTGGTCCCACTCAGGTGCATGCAGCTCACGATACTCCTTTCAAGGAGGCAGGTACTATTTAGTGGGAAGTAGAGCCAGCAAAATCATTCGGGGTAAACCAACCAAATAGTTAGGTAGCATGCTAGATCTCCATTTTCTCACCCCCTTCCCACTCTCCCAACACTCTCAGCGTTACCTCTCACCACCACCATCTGACCTACCCACATTGCCTCTGTCACCTCTCATTCTATAATATTCTGAATTCTCGTCCCTCAGGAGGAAGGCCATGCCCAGTCCCTGGAAACCTCAGGGAACTGTCACTGCCTCCTTTTCTACATCTTTACTTCACCTTTTTTCATTTCTGGCCCCAAACTCTCATGGTTCGGCAGAGGTATTACAACTGACAGAATTATCTTGTTGATGAACATTTTTATTCAGAACTTGAAATGGTAGGTGGAAAAGGTACAAAGAAGGTACAAAGAGTGCTTGTTTTCTGTGTCTTCATTGCTAAAAATGTACCTTCTTAGCTTCTAGTTTAGTAACTACATGTACGAGCCACTCTAGCCTCTGGGACCAGAAGCTTTGGTTTAGAGCTGAAATCTTAGCTTTGTAAACCCTGTCTCAGAAGAACCTCATGTCCTTTCAACTTCCCAGCAGAAACTTCTGTCCTTCTAATCTTGGCAGAGCTCTCAGTGTGTCACTCTCCTACCCCCTCGGGTTTTCCTTTTTCCTTCGCCACCTCCTGGTTACTCATTTGCATTCCATTCTCCGTGCCCTCAACTTCCTGCCTTCCACCCTGACTAACCCTGCCAATTCCCAATACTAGATCAATCCAACACTTTGGTTTACTCAGCTTTTCTTTCCAAGCTTCCAGATGCTCCTGCAGAAAATCATACAATTGCGCTGACTGGCACTGTTACAAATTTATAGGTCTCTGCCTCAGCTGGGTCCCCTATATGCTCCTTAGTTGGAGCCCATTCAGTAGCGATTCTCAAACATCTTACCCCAGTTTCCATACTTTAAGCTCAGCTGATGCCCTTACTTCAAATGTGATTGAAAACAAACAAACAAAAAAATGAAGCCATTGAGGCTAACTTACTTGACTTGCGAACCAATTGATATGTTCACCCGTCCTCCACTGTCACCAATAAAGTGAAGTCCCTACTCCTGTCCAGAACTAATCAGAAATCAACGCTTCCCTGTATGCTCCCACATCCTTCAAATTCTAGCTCCAACAACCTCCTCTAATTTTTCAGATTTGCTTTTTCCATTGCTTCCTCGCCTTTGGTTTACAGTTATGCCCAAATAGTCCTGTCTTCTACATGCTCATCCTCCCCAGTACTCATCCATGGCAGTTTAAACCTTTTCAATCCTGCAGTCTACCACCTCTTCACTCCACTGAAAATATTCTTATAAGCTACTTACTGTTTGACAAATGAAATGGTATATTTTCAGGCTTCACCCTGCTTAATCTCTCTGCCACATTCATTTAATCCAGTTATTCTTACCTCCTTTGGCTTAAAAAACTTATTGAGGTATAATGTGTATAACATACAATTCACCTATTTTGGAGTACAATAATTTTTAGTATACTTTTTAAGTTGTGCAACCACCATTGCACTCCAGTTTTAGCATATTTCCATCACCCCAAAAGGAACACTTGTGCACATTTTTAGTCAATCCTGGTTTCTACTCCAACCTCAGGCAAGCACTCATCTGCTTTCTATCTATAGATTTGCCTTATTTGGGCATTTCACATAAATGGAATCATTTTGTCTACTTCTTTATCTGTTCCTTCTCCTTTTCCCTAATTCATTTCTCTGTTTCTATGGTATGATAAGGTCATAATTCTTGCCAGTGCTCTTTCTTTTGTTCATTCTACACTCTTTTCCTACAAAAATTGCACACATTCCCACCTGTGGTTTCAATTCACCAATAACTCAGAAATGGTCCCTCAGCCCCAACACCTCTAAGCTCCAGACCAATGCTTTCAATTTTCAGTCATACTAATTACCTGCGTATCTTGTGGGCTCCTATAATGCAGCAAAACACACTGGTTATCTTTTCTTCAAACATGTTTTCCTTCTGTATTTTGGTGGTGGGTTAATAACCCACCTTTCAGAAGTCCTATGTAGGAGCTTCAAAGTCTTTTCCAAGCCCTCCCTCAGTGCTTCTTATTCCTGATCTCATTTAATCTTTACAACACCTCTATTAGTTACTATTAACTCCATTTTACAAACGAAAGAGAGTGAGGCTCTGAGAAGTTACATATGTAAGATTAAGCAACTAATAAACATTAAAGCTGACATTTAATCCTCAGTCTCCTCCCTTTTGCTTTTTCCTTTTTGAAAGGCCATGCTATCCTGTGTCTTTCTATAGAGACAACCTAGAAGATTTCTGAATTCCCTTTCCTCTTCATTTGCACCATCTCTTCCTCTGTTCAGGTCCTCATCTCTTGCCAAGTTTAAAGAAGTCACCTATGCCTGTTCTGTTTGCCTCCTATAAATCTCTCCTTCACTCCTCCTTTCAAAAAATGGTCATTCTAAAGCAAATCTAATAATGTTACCTCCTGAAATTCAGTTAATTTGACAAATGTCATTTGCGAAGCAAGGTACAAATAACTTTCACTAAAAATGGATTAAGTATTAAAGTTTATCATTAATTCACTTTAAAAATAAGTTGATACAGATTCAAGGGAATTCTTATAATTATATCATTCTTATTTGCATTCAAGGAGGCTTTTTCAAACAGTTGGAAAAAGAGGATGAATTAAAGTTTATGTTTTGAGAATTGCACATAACTGAATGCCTATCGAATTGACACCTCAACCTGTAGTACACAGTCCTGTTGAAATACTGATGGTTGTCATGCTGATTCTGAGTCACTGTGATAGCTATAAGTTGTTTCAAACTAATGGGAATCTGTCACATCATGTTGGTTACAGTAGAAAACAAGTTGAAACCTGCTGGTGGGTTTTATTCCAGCATAATTGTCCTTCTCATCTCTTCTTCCTACTCAGCTTGTGCAACCTGAACTTCACCCACACAATCAGATCATTTATCGTACTCTCAACCAGCCAGTGGTTTCATACTAGTGCCTTCATATATGCTATTCCTTCCACCTCACTCTGGACAATTCCGAAAGACACAAATCAATGTCACCTCCTTTGGGAAGTCCTCTGTTTATTCGATGTAGAGTTGATGATCTCTTCTCAGTGTGCCCAAAACATTGTGTGTATACTTTTCCTTGTGTTGCAATAATTTGCTTTTGGTTCTTTTTCTTCCAGAACTATTTTAGAAACCCAAGGAAATAAATGCTTAATTCTTACCAGGAAATTTTAGAGGGCTCCATAGAGGAGGTAGATTTTTAACTAGCCCAATATCCCCAGTGAGTAGGAGAAAAGATTGAGAAAAGATTATTCTGGGCTGAGGAAACAAGTATCAACAAAACAAGTCCATGAATAAATAGAAAATGAGAAATGAGGAAGGAACTTCTATTTCTAAGCAGCATTTACATACTCTCCTATTAAGTTCATTTAAATTAATAATGTTGTTAAAATATTTAAAACACAGTGAATAACCATTGCCTGAAATGTCTCACCCTGTTTAGATTGCTTTTGGTAGTTATGAACTCCTTGAGTCTTGTCCTATTGGTTATTAAGTATTGTTCAAAATGCATAAAAAACTTGTGTCAAAATTTTTGTACTATTTCTACATCAGCCAATTATATGTTCATCTATACTATTACAGGCATATTTGGTTTTATGTAAGCTCTGTTCAAAGAGAATGATTGAAAATAATTTAGCACTGCTTACATTGGTTAGCAAATAAAAAAAATATATAATTCTAAGGAGATAAAGTAATGTATCTCAGTAAGATTAGTTTATTGTACAGAAAATAGTAATTATTTGTATTCTTGTTCTGGCTTATCACTGATTAGAAGCAAATTGTGATTTACTAATAATTTTACACTGACTTACATTTCTTTCTGATTTATATTCCTTGATTGTGTATGTGTATATATATGTTTTTTTCTTCTGAAATATAAAATTCAGCTTTAAATGGCAACATACTGGTACTTGATATAAATTGTCCCCAATTGCAAAACATGCATATGTATAATACATAAATATGATTTTGGCTATAGTAAGTAGGTATTATAGATAATAAATGTGTCAGCTCAATTTACTACCCAGTGATTGTCCTGTCTGTCAACAACCTAATTATATTTTTACAACTTTTTAGTAAATTGACAATATTAAATAATTACTTAAAGAATTCTGAAACGTAGTTTCCACTTAATTTTTATGTAGGCTTTTAGGAAGGGGGAATCTAGTGTCATTTTTCTTTAGAAATGTTTTTAAGCATCCTCAACTTTCCTTTATGCTCTCCTTATTTTTAGGTAGAGGAGCACTGTCAGAGCCTAAAGCAGTTTTACCAAGATGAAAACCCACAGAAGGAAGAGGATCTTGCTGAAGCCAAGCATTGGTCTGACTCAGCCGAGAAGCAGTGGCAGCTCTTTTTAAAGAGAAGTTTTTTAACTCAAGACCTTGGGCTTGAGTTCCTTAATTTAATAAATATGGTGAGAATAACACTGAGTCACAAATTCTGCAATGATCACTTGTCAAAGTCAAAATTACAAATTCAAAAGTTCAACTGTTAATTAATCAGCAGTGTAGATTTAGAAAGTTCTTTTTAGATTTATTTAACCTAGAAGAGTCCTGAAGCCCAGCATTTACATGTTTATTTAGTCCTAGACTTCTTGTCAGTTTAAAACATGGAGGTTATTTTGACTAGTAAGTAGAAAGGGGGACTATGATCCAAGTGCATTTTTATTATTACATGGACGTTCACCCAAAAGTTCTAAGCTATGTTGACAGCATGCAACAAGGGCCTTACAAAATGTCCAGGGGCTGAAGACAATGTCTAGAATGAATCTTCATTTTGAAGAATTTCTTACTATAGAAGATCTTTTTATAGTAAAGCTCCATTATATTTAGAAATGTTGTCCACTTAGTTGTCCACTTATATCTGTAAAATATTTTAGAATACTTATATCAACCTCTGACCCATATAAAGTTCTCTACAGAATTCTTAAAAGATGGCTAATCCACCTCTCCATCAGTATTTCAAGTGTCTTCCTAATGAAACTGCTCATTTCAGTGTTTTTTAACACTGGCTCTTAGGACAAAAAAAAATTAATGTTAAGTCAAATATGTCTTCTGGTTCTAACGCTCTGTAGCTACAAGGCAGGGAAAAGTATTCATATTTTATTCTTCTTACACGTGAAAGTTCTTCAAACATTGAAAATGGTTTCTATATCTAATCTGATTAATTTCTGCAGCTAACACATGCAAATCCTTTCTATTATTTACGAGGTAGCTTTATTTCTCTCTCTACTCTGATCCTCCCTCCCAGAATTTTCAGTAGTTTGTCAAAATCATTCATAAAATGTAACCAAAAAGCAAAGTGTAACTTTAACACAGAGAACAACAAAGTGGACATCATTCTTTACTAATGAGATCTAAGATTATGTAAGCATTTTTAGCCATGACTTCACTCTGCTGGTTTATATTAAGCTTGTGATTGAAACGCTGATACATTTTTACTATAATTTCTGCCAAGCTAGGTCTCTCTCATCTTATATCTGTGTCAACTACTTATCTTTGACATATAAATGTGGGTCTTTATATTCCTGCTTAATGTCATTTTGTTAACTTCACCCATGATTCTATTTTGTCAAACTAATTTTGGACCTGCTACCTACTATATCAACCCTCATTCCTGGGTTTAATTCTATACATTGATAAGGAAATCTTCTATGGCTACAATTTGATAATTAATAAAAGTGTCTAAGAGGAAGTTTGACATCCTAAGCCATTAAGCAATTAGTGGATTAACCAGTTTTTGAAACAATCATGGATGCTCCAAGTGGTACTTTAATTCAACCATGATTTCACAACCTTTTTCTTGTCTATAATTGGAGACACTGCTCAAAGGGAGGTCTGTGTACCTAGTAACCTATGAATTACATACATATAATTTGACAGAAATCAGGTAGACTCCTCGTGATAAAGGGATTCTTTCCGAAGTGATCGCAAAATGCTTGATTAATGATGAACTTACTGCACTGGCTTTCATTGTAAAGCTTTCTCATCTGTAAATTATGTAGCCCATCCTTTCCCCCCTTTGAAAGTCAAAGTATTTTTCTTTCTCTAATTTTCTGGCCCTTCTCCTATTTTCTGTAGATTTGCAAAGATAACTGACATCTGCAATTTTCTCAGTACTCTGAGATGTGATTAATCTCAGTCTGGAGCCTGAATTCATTTGGAAGAGTTAGGTTCTGTCTAACTACTCTCAGCTACTTTGAGCTGCAATTTTCTCTTTATCTGCTTTGTTTCAACCTTTGTTTTTTGAAAACCATTCTTATTAAATCTATGTGAAAACAAAATATACATTAAACAGTTCTAATTTACTTAATACTACTTTTAAGCATACAAAGAAACTTGCTAAGCAATTTGCCCATGTTTTTATGTTATACAGGCGCTTATTGTAAAAAATAATTAAGTTATTTTTCATTTGGAATATTTATAACTTGTATTTTCTACCATCTATGTATGTGTATCTATCTATCTATCTTTTACATTTTTACTTTATTCAGTATATAGTATTCCATCTCTTGATTGTGTACTTCTCTAACTTGCACTCATAAGGGAATTAAATATTTGCAAACTACATTTTTGCCTATTTTTTATTACTAATTTCATTTCAGAATTTTTATTTTTCGTTTCTGAAACTTCCAGTTGGCTCTTTTTTATTAGATTTCAGTTGCTGATGAAATTCTCTTTCTCATCCTCTCTTTCTCCACTTTTGCTATGCTTATTTGACCATATTAATCATGGGCATTTTAAAGTGTGTGTCAGCTAATTCCTATATCTGGATCTGAAGTTATTTTAATTATCTACTTTTTCTCTTGGTTTTCAGTCATGTAGTCAGTCCTGTCTTGGCAGTATTCATGAATATTTATCAAACGTCAGGCATTATGTATAAAAACTCCATACCTTATCCCAAGGTCTTTACCACTGTCATATGATAAATTCCTCCTTGTTAATAAGAATTAAAGTCCACATAATAGTTAACTTTATTAGTTCAGCAGCATTCTGAGATAGGATTTTATTGGTAAAGCAAGTGAAACACATTTTTTTATTCTCTTCATATCTTTTGGATCATTAGGCTTTTAAACAAACATCAATGTTGAGATGTGGTCACCAGTTTGGTTGTTAAGAAGGAAGTCCAGCTGGCATTTTCTGCTAACCATTCTGCTCTTGATTGGATTGCCACAGCTCATATTTTCAAGTTTGAAACTGAAATTTTTCAGTTCATCTAAAAATCATCAGGACTGGAGAAGCTGATTTAAGTGAGAAATCTGGCACACATCTTAATAAAAGCACTAATTTGCTAATTTATAGAGGCGAATACCAAGAATGCTATCTGGGATACTGCCTTCCTATTATCAAGGTACCTAGAAAGCAAGACATCAGAAGATCATTGTGCTGAATCTAAATAGAAAATGGATAATTTAATGCCATATTAGACCAGATTATGGCAAATTTTTCATGCGCTTACACAGAAACAGAATGAATAGTGTGTTTACTAACTAAACCTCGGGCAAATTATTTAATCTTCCTGAATGGTCAAAATACTTAAATCTGCCAAATACATAATTACTCTTTTTGGATCCTGCTAGCTAGACATCAACAAATTCTGCTATAGCTCTCCCTTTTCTAGATCTCACTCAGATCATCATACTCTGCTGATTGTACTTGTCATTGGCATGCTGCAATTTCCATGTTTATGTTAAATTGTATTTTACCTTTTGATTAATAGTTTCTTAATAATATGTGAAAGATACCCTAAATTTATTTACAGCATAGATAAAAATTATGATTTAGGGTGGATCCTGATGAAATTTTCTAATATCTTTCAAAATATATATAATCTTCTTAATCATAATTACAGAATATGTCATTTTATTTCTACATCCCCAAATTCATGGGAGGAATCTCATTTAGAACCTGCAACTAATTGACATTTTATAATGTCAAAGTTAATATAAAATATAAATATACAATATTAATGTGATTTGAAATAATTTAAAAACAAGATAGCCTATTATTTAAAATATCTTGTTACATATTTATGACATTGTCTTCAGACCACAATTTAAAAGGTCCCTTTTAGATACTTAGTTGTCATTGTCATTATAGAAATCCATATGTACATTTGCTCCTTAGAAATTCAAGGATTTATTGATAAATGCTGGCCATCAAAGTAAAAACTTTTGTTTTGCCAGACAAATATTCTACATTTTTTTATGTTTGCACATAAAATAGCACAAAGTCTTACTCTTTACCTTTCTTATCCATCTGCCTCCAATTGAATTCTCCCTTGTGTAAAACCATTGTTTGAAGGATTTCAAATTAGTCAGCTAGAACATATAGAAGTTCAGAAAGGAAGTTTTAAAATTAGATATTGTGCTTCTGTTACACGGTAGAGATACAAATATAAAGATATATAGATGCACGTTTTAGTTTCTACAAAAAGGAGGAACTTGAGGAACTGCTCACAAGGGCAACTGGTTGTAATATATACAATGGGATGGTTTAAAAAAAAAAAAAATGGCCCAGAACAATCTGCCCTGTCATATTCCCTGATCCTGAGATTTTGACATCTGCTATTGGGTGTGTTAAAATGAAAGATAGAATACAGTTTAAAACTTATGCATTAAAATCTTGCCTTTAATATTTCTGGATCCCATTGCTCATTCAATCACCCCCTCAAGCTGCAGGAAATAACCAGACAATAGCAGAGGACTCAAATACCACTGGGGTCTTGAAGAACCCAGGACTGATGTTTGAGTATGGAACATGGGTTCTTAGAGCCTAGCTGTTCATCTACACAGGCATTTCTGATTTATTTTCATATCAGAACCATGCTCTGCTTTGGTTGTGATCTATTTTGGTTTTCTCCTAGAATATTAAATGCAAAATGTTGTATTTCTTCAGAAAGAAAAGCCATTATATGGATTGTTAATTTAACAGGCAAAAGAGAATGAAATATTAAGTGTGAAAAATAAAGTCCACATTATGGAGAATGCTATGGAAAGCCAAAAGGCAGAAAGGGAAGAACTCAGCCTCCTTCGGATGGCACGGCAACTTGAAGCCACTGCAAGCAAGCCTGTGAAACAGCAGTGGGGCACATTCAAAGAGCAACTTAGAAAGGTGAGGGAATATGCAATGGGTATTATTCAGTCTCATAAACAATGGGTTCCCAACCCCCGGGCCGCGGACCAGTACCTCTCCCTGGCCTATTACGAACTGGGCCGCACAGCAGGAGGTGAGTGGTGGGAGAGCTAGTGAAGCTTCATCTGTATTTGCAGCCCCTCCCCAATGCTAGCATTACCCCCTCAGCTCCACCTCAGATCATCGAGCATTAGATTCCCATAAGAGCACCAGTCCTTGGGGCCAAAATGGTTGGGGATCACAGTTACTAAGGAATGAAATTCTAACACATGGTAGAACATGAAAGAATCTTGAAAACATTATGCTAAGTGAAATAAGCCAGATGCAAAAGGATAAATATTATGATTCCACTTACATGAAGTACTTAGAGTAGTCAAATTCATAGAGAAAGCAGAATAGAGGTTATCAGGGACTGAGGGGAGGGGAAATGGAAATTAGTGTTTAATGGGTACAGAGTTACAGTTAGAGATGACAACAAAATTCTGGAGATGAATGATGGTGATGGTTTCCCACCAATATGAATATACTGATGCCACTGAGCTGCACACTTAAACATGATTAAAATCCTAAAACTTATTATGCTTATTTTACCACAATAAAACTAGAAAAGGTAATGGAAACTCAATGTACTTTTGTTCATTGGTGGTTTAGAACCATGAGGTCACTTGAGGTGATGAGTGTTTTCATGGGAATTGAAAAGTTTGATAACACACCATGTCATCACTGGAATGATCATAACATATTTACTAGTGGTGCAAAGAAAACATACACCTAACCATCCAATGTTTATTTCAGACTACTCACAACTTAAAACTTCTTCAGGAAGCACTTATGTCTGTGACTGCACTTGACCTTGGAGGGAGCCTCCAGACCATTTTAGGTCTACGGAAAAAATGGAATGCAATGAAGGCTCAGTTCCAGGTGAAGAAACAAACTGATGAACTTGGGTGAATGGAAAAACATTTTTAACTGCTTGGTTGCAATTTACCTAATTAATTTTAGCAGACTAGTGAATTACTATTTTTTAAACTAAAATATTGCTTGTCTAAAAATCCACTTTAAAAAAACACATTTTTCATACTGTTTTTCTGCGCCATTATGTATTAGATGATAAATATTAGGGCTGCAAAATGTTCTTAAAGTAGTCTTAGATTATTTTAATTTATATTAAATTAGTACCTTATCAATGTATTCCTCATATATATTCATTCTAATCACTTTCTTAAGGAATATAGATGTGTTTTTAGATCAAATCATCTCAGAATAAGGATGAGCAACCTCTGACACAAAGGCTCTGCTGCCCTCAGCCCCAGAAATGACCACTGTGATGTTACTGTCCCCACTGATTGGCACCCCAGGTTCATACCACCCTCTCAGGAATTTTGCTTTGTTCTCCTATTTTCCCTGTCAGAAAGCCCTCAGGATATGAGAGATAAAACCATCATCAGTCATGTTCAGAGCCTCTGACTGCTAATGCATTCCATACTCCCCACTTCCTGCTGCTCCTAAACTTGACACCACTGACAAAAATGGTTGCTAGTCTTATCCTCCTGCCCGGATTCTTGTTCTTTTCAGGAAAGTTAAAGTATCTGTGTTTCTATTTGTCACTACTTTGTAAGTATTGGCTTTAAAGAATCCCAGAATCAGAAAACTAAAGATTCTTTTAGGGAATATTTAACTTAGGTTCCTTTGAGACAAACCAGTGTCATATATAATCACCCCACCCAGCACCCAACACAAAACACACATCATTATAGTCCCCAGTGAACTCTTTCCTCCACACTCGTAGAAAATTCAATTAGCCTACATGTTAGGTTTATTGACATACCCTATGCTTATTTGCATTTCATGTGTGCTCATGTGCGTGTTCCCCTACACATGTGTGAGTATGTGTATGTGTAAAATCCTCTAAATTAGGGACTGTATAGCTTCTTTAGCCCTGTCACTATGACGTGCATATATTTGATGCCCACATGCTTGATTTCCAGTAGCTTCCTCTTTGAGTTGTCCACCCTTTGCAAATTTTACCTCAGGATCTGGATTTCTATGAGAGATATCTGAGTAGTACTAGATAAAAGAGAAGATGGTTTATCCCTCCCTACGTGTGGTAGCTATTTGTGGATTCTGAGATGACCACTTTTAAAGCAACAACGTAGCTACTGTTCTGCTCAGCTGTGGTTCATTCTGATCATTCTTTTATCACAGAGGAAAAGCAATACACTTGTCTTTTCTTGGTGTCCTTACCATACCACCTGATTCTAGTCTGTATTAAATATCAGAGATGATCAAACCTTTATAAAATATCTGAAATACCATTACTTAACAGATGACTAGAATATTTGGTGTGCTATAGAAATACATGATTTTGCATTTTACCACCTAACTTCAAAGTACTTATTTTGCATTGCTTATAATTAAAATTTTTTCTGAGAATATAGGAATGAACTAATGTATCCTTAGTATTAAGCAGAATGCCTGGATTTGCAGAGGTGGAAGTGAGGCTCATAACAAGTTTTTGTTAAATGAAAGAATGATTGGTTACTTACATCTTTATATGCTTTTAACTTTGTAAAGTTAAAAGCTCTAAAAGCTGGAATCTTTTTTACTACTTTCAACATTTTAGCAACTGAATGATGAGGTTCAGTACATTATAAAAGAATCAGAAGAGCTAAGTTGCAAAGGTGTCCCTGTGAAAGAGAAGTCTCAACAGCTGAAGGACCTCATTCATCTCCATCAAAAACAGAAAGAGAGAATCCAAGACTACGAGGACATCCTGTATAAGACAGTCCAGTTCCACCGAGTCAAGGAAGAGGTAAGACTTGTCATAGATATCTGGAAGACACAAAGTCTTAAACTTTGAAATTAAATATAAATTATTATATAATAAATAAAAGTCAAATTGCTTATTAGAATCTTTTCACAATCTGGCCTTAAAGTTTTCTCTCACTCTACCTCTATCCTCCCTTACATTTTAGCCAAACAGCTCTTTTTGGTCCCTCAAAGATGGCACACATATTCCTAACACCTTGACTCTCAGGCTGCCATTACCGGACAGGTCCTTTTCTCCATTCTCCAGTCTAGATCCTGTCTCTCCTTCCAACAATCCTATCTCATTTGGAGTGATTTTCTTCTCTTCTTAATTTCTAGAACTCTCATTGTTTATCCCACTCATCTGTCATTTTAGCATCTTGATTCTTCATTACTCGCCCCGCAACTTAACTGTAAGCTCTTTGAGAGAAAACAAATTCATTTTTTTTGTATCTCGAGTACCTAACATCATAGAGTGCTCAGTAAAAATTCAGTTATTAGCTTCTATTAACAGAAAATGGAGATGTATTGATATCCCTTTAAAATGGCCTCTGAATTTACTCAGATCATAGACCTAGATCTCGCTTAAGTTTTAGATTATGATCAAAAAGTGTTTTCTTCTTTAATAGAACTGACAACATTAACTCTTCAATACTACCCTATTCATTTGCAGCATTGCAACTCTTATTTGGCCATAACACTGATAATTATAGATGGGCTTGGTGGCATTTTTGCCAGCTAATAAAATATGTTAAAGGAAATAGGCTTCCAAAAAATCCATCTTCATAAAAATATGAAACTCAAGTTAATTGTTAATGCCCTATATTCCAGCTGGAACATCTCTTCAAATCAAGAGGACTGGAGTTTCTAGAACAGCCAAAGGAACTGGATAATGCTCACGATGCCCAGGTTCACCTCAGTCGCTCTCAGGAAAAGCGGGCACATATAGACCATCTCCACAGATTGGCCCTTTCCCTGGGAGTGAACATCATCTCATCAGTGCAGCAGCCTGTAAGCAACTCAGAACATCATCCTTCATACCTAATTATAGCGGGAGTTGGGCTATAATAGGGAAGAAACCAGGCAGATTGCCTAGTACATGTTAAATTAAAAGATACATTAAACCATTCCCTATAACAAAAGAAAAACATTTTAAGGAGGGAAAAAAACCCTGAAAATCTGATTATAAAAGTCTTATTTGATACATCTATTGTCGAGCTAATTAAAAAATTGTAGAGATGTGTCATCTAATACAGCAGTCGGTTTTTCAAATGTGCCTGATGCAGCTAAGGAACTAAACTTTTAATTTTATTTAACTTTAAATGGAAATTGACACTCAGTGTAGTTATTGGAAAACTTTTAAGTATGTTCAGAACAACTTGGATATGGGAAGCTACATTTTAAACAATAAATTCTATGAAATTTAAATACAGTTCAAGTATTTCTGATAGAAACTTAGTAATAATTGAGATGTGCTGTAAACATGAAATATCAGATTAGCACTAAAAAAAACCTTGTTAATTTTTTAAATATTTCCTTACATGGTAAAAATTTGATATTTGGACATATTTGATTAAACTATATTATAAAAAATAATTTCACCTGTTTCTTTTTTAATTTTTAATGTGACTACTAAAAATTTTAAAATTATTTATGTTGCCCATGCTTTATTTCTTGAGCAATACAGCTTAAGCATTTCAAATTTGGATAGATGATCCCAGAGATCATCTATCCCAGGACACTCATTTTATAGATGAAGAATTTGAGGCCCAGCGAAGCTGCTTTATCCATAAAAAGACAAAATGAAAGAGCCTCCTGATAGAGAACAAAGGCTCTTGGTACCGGTCATTGGATCTGCTTTATTCCACTGAAATGATCTTAACAAAGGAGTCTAAAACACAAAAAAAGTAATTCCAAATCAAATTTTCATAAATAACACATTTGGACTCTGATTTAAAAAATATATATATATCCTTCTCTAAATTCCTAATTTGAGGGGAGAAATGATTATGTTTATTCTATCAAATATGTATAACATTAATAAAATCATAATGGCCAATTTTATTTTAAAGTCTATTTAAAATATCCACTAAACTATGTGGAGTGCACTGAACCTAAAGTATTTTTAATTGAAAGACATAGAAATACAAAATACCTGTCACCGTTAATAGAATATATTTTTTCTAAGAAGAAGCTTTCTTTTTAAAGAGCTTTATTTTATTAGTAAATTTAAATAGAAAAAAAAAAAAACCTAAGACATCTCACTTTGCACAAGTAATGTAAATTGTTCTCCAATTGTGTCTGGCCTTGGCCTCAGCAGCCCTCTTCTGAGTGGAGATTGGAGGACTTGCATAATGAACCTGAGGTTAAGCCCGAGTTGACAGGAAAATTATAGTGCAGAAGCTGAATTTTTCTAATGCATATTTTATGCCTTTTGAAGTAAAAATTATACCTTATAATGAATAGTGTCTCTGAGGAGTTGGGTGTGATGAGCAGATCTTCAAAACTGAAGTTTCAAGATTGAAAATACAACAGTTTGCCTTTCTCATCATGTTGGGTGTCTGGCTTCTTTCTGAAATCATTATATTCAAATGTGCTTAAGGTAAAAAAAAAAAAAAATCAGACTGTTGTTTTAGACGTCATTTATGTATTTCATAATGCAGATAAATAGCATATTTGTCTCATTGCTGTTTTGCCCATTTCCTTTGTCACTTTCACATCTCTTTCATTTTTAGAACTGCTCTAATGTGTCTGCAAAGAGCCTACAGCAACAGCTGGATATCCTTGATGGGGAGAGTGTGAACTGGCACACCAAAGCCAGAGAGTATGAGCGGACCCTGACATGCAGCATGGAGTACTGTACCACGAGGGATGAGATAAATGAGGTTGGTGGCACGAGTGACACATTGCCAAAAGCCTCTCTGAACCTAAATTGTGTATCTAAATGTCTATGCATGTGCACATGCACACACATGCGAGACTCAGACTTGTTTTTCACCCTTGACCTTTAGTCCACAGAGCAATGGCCTCAGGGATCAGAAAGTTTGAGTAAACTTCAAGCTCCCAAACTTGTTGAAGTCAGTGCATTGTCAATGCATAGAAAAACCTAGAGTGTAGTATTACTGTTTATCATATGCTTTTTTTCTCCCCCCACTCAAACCCTTATAGCAGTCATTTACTTGAGCGATTATAGCCTGTCAGGACAGAAAGGGTGACAGTGTCCCTTTGCAGCCAGCAATAGCCTGCTGAGATTCTATTTAAGTACCACTGACTCACAGTGAAGGGATGCTAAGGACTAGGCTTTTTGCCTCAGAGGCCCAGACACATACTGGGCTACAACTATCACCTTTCCCTAGTCAAACTTTCCTTTCAAGGGTCCCAATTCTTGACTAGGAATTGACAGTAGCACACAAGGTACCATAATTACAGATTTATCCCCACTTAGAGTGCAACGTTTCTGAGTCCATCAGTCACAAATCTATTAGGAAAGAGGGTAGGAGGAGAAGGAATGGGTAAACCTTCTTGAATGTTCTGTTAATGACCAATTTATACAATCTAGGCCCAACACATGCCAAATATTATCAAACATTAGAGCATGCATTAAAGTTTGAGTAACTAAACTTAAACATGGTCTAGCTCTGAAGTGTCCTTTCCTGCAGGTCACACTTTCATAGACCACAGCCAAGGGCAGGAGGGAAGCACGGCTAGGAGGAAACAAGAGGAGGAGAGAGCAGACGATGCCGCTTGGATCCCATTCAACAGGAGGGAAGCACAAACTAACATCAGCAGCAATTTTTATTTTAGCAATGAGCTGTAGGACTGTAGAGTTTCTGCTCAGTCTGTGTTCCAGGGAATCATTCTGGGCTAGAGATTCATTAAGGAGTTAAATCTGTAGGATAGCCTGCCCTCTAGGTAGTAGAATGGCCTCTTCTGGTTCCTATACTGCAGCTAACAGCTCTTCAGTCACATCTTGGTAAGGGAAACAATCTTAAGAAGAATATTATTCTCTCCAAGACTACAAAATTTAGATTCCCAGGCATGAAAACAATTCGTTTACTATCTTTCCCAGTGTTATCTTCTTTCTGCTTCCTCCTTCTCCCTCTTCTTATTTTCTTCTCATTATTTTGTAAACTTTTGTCTTGCTGAAAATCTCTCTGCTGGCCGTGATGTTCAGCTCTCTGTTTACTGAGACCACAAGTGGAGCAGGCTAAGGCTAATTCCTAGGCCCCTGTGGTTTGGTTTCCATCTCCCTAAAGTGCTATGGCATTTATGGATTCGGGTCTCCCTGTTCAGGCCCTTCCCACAATGGTTCTATTTACAGGGGCTGCCTCGTGATGATCCTATGCTGGGAGCCAGCCTCAGCGACAACAGATGACCTTTCTAGTCATAGTAGGGATGCCCCAGGATTGTCTGTACCAAAACAGGAATGAGCAACCAGATATGTAAGGATTTGATTTAGGAATCAGATCTCACTTTAACATGATCTTAAGTATTAAAAGCTATTCTTCCCACTTGCTTCTACTTCAACTAATCTTTGATGTAGGTTACAGTTTCATATTTAAAGGATCTTTGAACCCTTTGGTCCTTTTCCCCTTTCCTGTCTTCTAAAGATTATAGCAGGCATGTCACAGTGTAGATCTACGCCCTGGACTTTTCAAACATGAGCCTAAACGGGAAAATAATCAGAAGGAATATTTTCAGTGACCTTTAGTAAAATAAAGATATGTGTGTTCTAGTTTGTATTGTAAACATCAGAGCACAAACAAGTGGCTAGATTCCAAGTGGTAATAATATTTGACACCTAGACATTTTTATTATTATCATCATTAATATTTGGTATAGATACTTAAAACATTATGTAAAATTAAAAGCAATATGTTACACTACTTTTTTTCTGTATAAAAATATAAAATCAGATGCCCCACCAGGGATCTAGACCAAGCATAGCATTTGTTTTTTTTATCTTGATTTGAAAACACACTGTTTTGTTTCTAATGTGCTAAGAGAGCATCTTAGAAATTCACAGACTCTGAGTTGAAATACATTTTGGAGAATGTCTAGCTCAACATCTCCATTTTCAGATGAGAAAACTGAGGTGTATACAATTTTCACTTGAGCAATGTGAAACAGGACTGCAGAGTCTCTGCTCATAGTGTTTCAGAGATTCAGCTTTGGACCAGAGGCTAATTAACTGGCCACAAACACACTTGTCATTTGCTAAACTCAGAGTTCACCATTCACTTGAATTTAGTTTGTTCACCCACTGCATGATCTGATGTTAAACGTATCCTTTTTCTGTGTTTTCCTCTTCTATCTTTATTTTCTAGCATATGTGTTATAAGCTGTTTATATGATCTGATATAATAGCACAGTTTATTTGGTTATTTCAAAATTTCTTTCTTGATGTTGGCATAACTAACTTACACGGTTTAAACTATACTAAAGGTCCTTAGAAAAGCACTCGGTACCTGAAGGCAAAACAAAATGAGGTGTTCTAAGTGTGACTTTTTTTTAATACGATGTGATAATTTCTTAAAGACAAAGAACCATGCTTTTTTGCCCTGATTATTTTTGGGTAAAATATTGTTTTTTCTAATTTCATATACTATATAATATGGAGAATTGAGAAATCTTATTATCTCCATGTCTATCTACTAGAAAACATAGCCTTCAGACTGCCATATTTTCTGGAGTTTTGTTTTTTTTTTCTCGCCCATTTCACACAAAGATACGTTTATATGCATGAATGTTGAATTTCACTATGTATCTTCTTGCCTGGCAATATAAATAAGTTGTTAATACACAAAGCATTACAGACATTTTCTGCCATATTGCATGACAGAACATCATTACTCATTCTTTACACATCTTCATTTAGAAATGTAATAAGTTAATACTGAGCACATTTTCTTCTTGCAATCTGACCAAAAAATTACCTTTGCATTTACATGATGTTAATGGAAATTTGTAGCTTGAGTTTCATTATGGGTCACAATTACTTTGCTGTAAAGAATAATAATGACAGAATTGGGTTGGTATCCATTTTCTCAAAATAAACTTGTAAACAGAAGCTTTCATATAATTATATTACTTTAGCCTGAAGTTTTTATACTATAGCAACATCTTACCCAGCAGGAAGGAAATATATATGGAATATATATATATTCCATATATCAGAGTGTGTGTTCTAATCACACAAATTCTTTTGTGAATTTGGATAAGTCATTCATCTGAGTTCCAGGAATACAAGGCAGATTAGAAGCAGTAAATTAGAATAGGGGAATGGTACAGCTATATACACATACACAACTATTAAATTAAACCTCCTGACATTGTATGATGCTTTGCCATTAACAAAATGACTATGGACAGTCACCAATTAGCAAGAAAGGAAGCAGGAAAAGTATACAGATGGGCAAAACACCTGATGGGGGAAGCACTATGGTATAGTACAGGTAATTATTATTATTTTCCAGATTGATAACCCTAATTTATCATTTTAAGAAAAGAACTAAATTATTGTCATTTAACATAAATCACTGTGGCTACTGTGTGCTGAGCCATAAGTATGCAAAAGTCCTCAGGAAACAGAGTCTTAGGTAAATTAAAGCCCATGGGATTTCAGTCGCAGCCACTCATTATCAGGCCCCACTGTGGGTCCATTCAATAGTATGAGTAAGAGGATAGGAATGATTATAATTTGTTCTGAAAATGTCCATCCCACAGTTAAATTATGTTAAAATATTGGTGTTTTACATCTGCAAAATGACTCTTCTTCCTAAAAAATATAGATAGCTGAAGTGTAAGATCATAGTTATCATGTTCAGAAAATAAAACTTAAATATATTATGAATGCACAAAACTTGCAGAGTGGATAAAATAGGTACTACTGAGACAAGCTGGCACCTACAATTTAAAAAGGAGCAGTTGTCTTTTCCTTCCACGGTGCCCCACTTTCCGCTGCTACAAACCTGACCTTAAGCACAGGAAGACAGCAGAGCAGTTGCCAAATGGAAGGAGGGCAAGAAAGTCTTGTCTTGAAATCTCTCCAGCACTGAGGCCTTATGTTCCACCATTAATCATTGTAACAAATCATTCCAGTTAAACTGTGAGTCTTTGGGTCCCTTCATTTCAAATGCAAACATCCCTGGGAGGTGATAACATCGCAGCTTTCCCTTAGTGAAAATGAACATCAAACGGAGATCTTTTTGTCTGGAGTGGACACAGTGGTGGGCAACAAATAAAGCTCATGAAGTGGACATTAAGAGAAATGGACTACTTGTTTCATTTTTTTGCTTCTGGCCAAACATGTGCCATAGTTCTAAAGAAAGCCTTTTGTTTTAAATGCATTTCTTTAATTTTAAAATGTCCCATGTCCTTCACATATTTAAATTGGCCTTGCCAACAACAGACTCACAAATAATTCATTCTTGTGCCAAAGCTGCCTTAACCAGCTTCATCAAGGACTACCCTTTTGCTTATTCTCAAAGAAGCTTTGTTTATTCCTAACCCTCAGAGAGAGGCTACCACTCCCTGGAAAACTTGGTGAGGATGCTCATTCTGCTAGTTACAAAAGAACTACAGTATTAAAGTCTTAATATTTTTTTTTCTAATTATAGCTATATTAACTTAGTCTGCTTATTCCATAACAAATATGGAGGAGCTGAGCAAGTGGAAAAATAGGAAAATCAAACTATTCACTGGGGGGGAAAAAAAGCTTTCTCCTTATTTTTATTTTTAACACTTTCAGAAGTTTTACGAATATGAATTATAACAACATTTAAAGATTTCAATAGGATAAACTTTATCTTGCCCCAAGCTTTGGGTGTTCTTTTGGCTTATGTGCCCCAGTGGAGCAGTTGTCTTAACCATCGTCAACATTCCCCATTGTTGACAAGCTAACTAAAGTTAGAAACAGCTGCATGAACAATGATACCACAGCCAAGCAACCATGGCACTCAATTCTTTTAAAAATATGATCACGAGTTATGTGAGTATTAGATGGGAAATTGTTTTCATATTGAAATGTCCAGGTAAGAAAATTAAGCATGGCTAGATTTTTCTGAATATCTAGTTGCTAAAGGTAGTTCATGCATGCTGCCTTCCACTTGTGTCTGCAGTGGTCCCAAATTTGAGCTTGGAAAGGCATAGGATTTAAGATGGATTTACAGTGGTTCCAAAAGAGAAAAGTGCCGGCAACTTCCTCAGAGGATCTCATGTGTCAGAAAGAAGCAGGTCCCTTTTTGTATACTCATAGTGCCATGAACATTCTTTGTCCTTATGAATCATCTTCTGTGGAAGCGCGTACATTTTGAAGCAAATAGCAATAAAAGTGCACTCGTCATTTATCAGTCTTAAATTTCTTAATGCAAAGTAGATTTAAAATTTCATGGTTTAGAAATAAGGGGTTAAGGTCCAACCTTTCTCCATTCATCACGTGGTTTTCAAATAGATGTTGATCTTTCCCATCTAAATAAATAGATGTATCACAGTAGATGTCAGGCTGATGACTGAAGTTTATAATATATATCATGTTCTAGGAAGGAAAAAAATAATATAATATTTTATTTTTTAATCGATAAATATTAGTTATAGGAAATGTTATGTCTCTCTTTGTTTCATTTTTTAATTTTAATTTTATTATAAACAGAAATTTTATTTATTGTGGTAAAATACACTAACATAAAATTTACCATCTTAATCATTTTAAGGGTACAGATCAGCGATATTATGTACATTTACATTATTATACAATCATCACCACTATTCATTTTCAGAACTTTTTCATGATCTTAATCAGAAACTCTACTCATTAAATACTAACTTCTCACATGTTTTTTAAAGATACAAGGGTCTCTGATTTCCTACAATGTAGTGATTATTATGCCCATAGATACTTTGACTTCACAGAAAACAGTTCCTTCCCAAGTTTCATGTGAATAATTCAGTATATATTCTCTTTATACAGTCTTTTTAATCTCATAAAGTTTACCTCATTTGTCTTTTCCCACTAAAATCAAGCACATGCATATTAAAACACCAAATATGAGAGAATTCAAATACTAATTATCTCATAAATATATTAACTGAATATGATCTTTTAAATATTTTTTCTGAGTTCTGATAGAGAAATAGTTTTCAAATATTGATGCTATAATTCTTTCCACTCCTTTAGAATGTAACTGATTTATCAATTTAAATGTTTAGTGTGATCTCTGTGCTTAGTTTGTAGCTTAAAACAAATATTCAGCATTTTATTTACCGTATAAAATAAACATCTCTGATTAAGTATTAGTGGATCAGGTGCAAAAATTGCATCAGTATAGTAATTTTCATGTATACAAGTCTGCCAGGGCTTTATAGATAATTGTCTCCAGGAAGTGTTGAAAGTAAGGTCAAGGTTTTGTTTTTATAATATGCAGAATTCAAAATAAGCATTTTGAGAAAGCAAGCATTTTCTAAGACGGATGTGTTTTTCTGCATTACAAGTTTAAAATCTAGCAAGCACACAGCCTTTATTCTATCCCAAACAATTTATTTGCTGTCATTAAAAAGAATTTCAATGTTTTTCTGACTTTTCTTACCATACCTTAAGTTTATCAACCATGACATTTTTCATTCTTGATGTTAAATGCTTCCATACAATCTGAGAAGATTTATGTTTTCTCTGTCCTTCTCTTTACTGATAATATAAAGAGAGAATGGCCCATCAATATGTTTATTCTTCTTGAATTTAGAGAAGAGCACAGAAATGGTGTGTTCAGTAGAACTGGACTGCTTAAAAGTTTGGTTCACTGGTAAACCTGAGCTATTTGTTCTTGAGACTCTCATAACTTAAGCCCTGTTCTCAATGTTCAGCATATACTTTGTTATACACAAATTAGCTTTGTATCATCGATGACAACCGTCACTTTACTTTTCCATTTTTGAAAGACCTTCAAAGTTAAGGGCCTATATATAAGAATTAAATATCTTCTGGAAACTGTTCACAAAAAATAATTTTTAGCTAGAATAGGGCAAAAAAGTTCTTTTCCTACTAAATCCCATAATGAGTTTCCTCTTCCAACCTACTAATATCCTAGGTAGTCTAAATGTCATAATTTCATTGACCTCTGCAACATGAGCAGCTTCTTAGAGCCTTAATAATTTATACGTGATGGCTATAAGAGAACATTGGGAGATGGGACAAATATTAGTACACAGGGAACAGAGTGAATGGAAAAATTTATATCAAATAAGTACAAATAAAAAAATGAGTTGTTGAAAGTCTATGATATATTAAAAAGAAACAAACAAACTATTGAATGGAGGCCAAAGAATATTCTATAACTGGAAACCTAATTATAAGTTTCAACTCAAAAAGTACTAAGAACAATTTATAATTATGTATATTTTGGGTCTATGTTTAAATTCACATTATATGTTCACTTAGCAGACTTGTTTTCTATTGAAATCACTCTAGATACATTGTGAAGATTATGGATATTTTGAAGTGTTTAAATATTTTGATTTATTACAAGTGAATATTAGTGTGCTCATTTTAAGGACATCACCTTTCTTTTTATTGACCTGTAGCTCAAAGAGTCATTCAAAGATACCAAAAAGAAATTCAACAATTTGAAGTTTAATTACACTAAGAAAAATGAAAAGGCTCGGAATCTTAAGGCTCTTAAATATCAAATTCAACAAGTTGATATGTATGCTGAAAAAATACAGGTAACGAGAGAGAGAGAGAGAGAGAGAGAGAGAGAGAGAGAGTGTGTTTGCATATACTACTACAATTATTGCAAAATCATTTACATTTCAATTCTAGATGCCTAATCCTTGGGCCTTTTAATGCATTGGGACTAAAAATGTGTTTTTCATTTTTATAGCAATTGGGTTCTTCATGTAACATATGTAATAAATTGATTTATCTTTTGAAAGCTGTTCCAGAATGGTTTCTGCCAAACCTATCTAGCTTCTTTGCTTCCATTCTTCCCATCAACATACACACACACAAACACACACATACACACATTCATGCACACATGCGTACACCTTTTGTACACTTCTCTTCTTTTCCTTGCACTCACTTCTGTCAGGAGTTTTCTCCAATGTTGTTATAGACTCTTTTACCTACCTCAATTATGACATGTGCTGGCCAGATTATTTAAATGCCTTTCCCAGGAAACAGTGAACTTACTGAAGACAATAAAGTACATGTTTTTATGATTATTGTCTTATTTTTTTAATCATAGTATCATTCTCAAAATCTGGAATAGACCCTGGTGTAGAAAAAGTTTCTGTTTGCTAAATGCTGAATCAATATACTATGTGGAAGAAAACCAATTCTTTCCAAAATACATTTGTAATAATTATGATTTTAATATATTAATGGAAGAAGCTACAAAATTTTTTCCAAGTTTTTCTCCAATATTTAATATTTAATCATTTGCTAGCCTTTTAAATAAAAATTGAATTTTATTTTAAAAACTTTTTTTGGCACAGGCTTTGAAAAGGAAAATGGAAAAAGTTGAGATTAAAACTTCTGATTCTTTCTTAAATTATCCAAATAATAAAGTTAATGTGCTTTTGGAAGCCATGAAGGATTTGCAAAAACATGTGGATGAGTTTGACAAAGTTGTAACAGATTACAAGAAGAATTTGGACCTGATTGAGCATCTCCAGGAGATGATAGAAGAGGTATTCTCTTCTTGTGATGCTATCGATGTTATAATGTTGTTTAAGAAAATTATGCCGCTACTTTAAAACAATGCTGCATTGGCTATTATTGTCATTAAATCCATGTACCGTGCTCCTTTTCATGATTAATTCCTTACGATAATTTCCTAAAGTAGAATTGCCAGACCAAAGGGGCTGAAGGTTATAAGGTTTGATTGTATTGTCCAATTGTTCTTTGGAAAGATTTTACTAATTTATTCTTATCAGGAACGTGTAAGGATTTCTCATTTCTTCATAATCTCATCAATTCAAGATATTTAATCATCATGGAATTATGTTCACTACTTGATATTTGTTTAAAATACTTAAAATGACTTATTTACTTCACAGAATTTGGAAGTGTTTAGAAAGAAATGGTGATACTAGGATTTTTCAGGTGCAAAATTGTTATTGATATTCTTTTTGTTTTTGTCAAGAAGATAAATGATAGTGTACACTTAAAATATATGAAATTTGACAAGTTAAAGTTATTATTTGCATACTTCATGTGGAAGAAACTCTATAACTGAAGTTCTGGAGTATTCTTTGTAGCCCATTATTCTGAGACACCAACCATCTCTCTTTACCACTAATGTAGTAAAGTTTTTAGATTTAACATCATATTAAGAAGGAGCAAGATGATCACTCTTACATATATGATATATAGGTTTGCTGTTGCTATGTGGCATTTATTTAAAGCCAGCTTCTTACAGAGTCGTGTGTTTCTATTTTTCACTCAGAGTAAGTGCTTGTGGCCTTGGTCAGACATGTTCCTCCATCACAGTTATTTATTTTTAGTGAGAAACTGTCTCAATTCTCCACTGTGCTTTGAAAATATGATTGAATGTCTTTTAATTTAAAAAGGTCAAATGCTGTCCTTCAGATGGTATTTCCTCAATCCATAGACTAAAACTCACTCCAAAAGAGAATTCATTTGAATGTTAATCAGGCAATACTTTATCCATGTATTGTGAATGATTTCAATTAATTTGGCTGGATTTTGTGTGTTTGGACTTTTTTCTTTCCTTGTAGCTGATATTTGGATTCTTTTTCGTGCATACCCTTTTTTTATACTGCCTAGTCTTAAAAGTATGCAACATTCCTCTTAGGAATTACGCTTCAGGCAAATCTAAGAAGAGAGGAAATAAAATGAATTTCCATATTTTTACTTTCTTATCTGACTCTAACATCCAGGTGCAAAGTATATGATCATATTTTGATATTTTCTATATAAAGGTTTAGAGATTTCAAACCAATATAAATGTAAAGTTTGAGGAAATTGAAATTTGATACTTCATTGGCCAAAATGAAGAACTTTAGAAAGATGGTATCTCTTTAATCTATGCTTTGTCCCATTTTAATTTAGTGTCATTTTTGGTGTGAAGATGCAAGTGCCACAGTTATAAGAGTTGGAAAATATTCCACAGAGTGCAAGACAAAGGAAGCTGTGGAAATTCTCCACCAGCAGTTCAATAAGTTTATTACGCCCTCAGTGCCTCAGCAAGAGGAAAGGATTCAGGAGATCAGTGACCTTGCGCAACGATTATATGGTAGGTCCCTTTTAAGATATCCGATGATTCGCCATTAAACAAATCTATACAGAATCTAATCCAACAGAAAGAAGAGCATGGCAAGCCCTCAGAGCCCTCACTACATCAACTTAAATGCTCCAGATAAGAGCTCATAACCAGCAAAAGTAAACAATAGGGAACTGCAAAAGAACTTCTGTCTGCAGGAGATGAAGCCTGTGGATTTTTAACTACTATGTGTAAACCCTCCTGCTCTAACCTCTTTTCTCCCCTGTTCCTGTTGATCATCTTCAGTATATTAAAACTATAACAATACTCAGCTTATTGAGACCAAAAATCTAATTTTTACTAGAGTGATTTCCTGAAAAACATACAAAACTCCCATAATACTTTAAATAAGTATAAAACTAAGGCCAAAGTCTACAGCCCTCTCATTTCTATGAAGGTTATGGTTCATGGACGTAAGAAAGAGCTAGAAAATTTGCCTTCTTTTCATTCGTGGAATAAATAAGAGAACTTGAATTATCACCTCATGGGTTCTGCTTTCCTCTTCTTTATGACTAGGAAAAATAACACACTTGTCAGCTGTATTATCTGAGAAGTTTTTCTATCTAAAGGAGGCCACGATTTAAGAAGCCCCTGGGTGATGACAGTTCTTGAGGGCACTGAGGAATGAGTTTCATGAATTCTCTAATATTATTAACTATGAGACCAAGACTTATTCCCAGTGACCAGGTTAATACAGCCCAGAAAGAAGATAGCAACTAGTGATACAAAAAGCTTCATTTGGCTGCCCACAGCTACTGCCAGATGGGTATTTTCTCTTGTAACATGAAGCACTATCCACAGATAGCCATAAAAATTTTGTACAACAATATATACTATACTACCTAATATTAAATTGAGAATGAATTACTAATTATTTTCTAAAGGAAAGGTGTGGAAACATAAATATAGTAAAATATAGATTGGAAAAATTAGTGAAAACTAATATGATGCAGCATTCTTACTACGGTCACTGTATAAATTTCACTAAAAGCTTTTGGAGGCATTCTATTCTCATGACATTGTATATGTTTTCCTCTATTATTATATTTTTCACACTGTAGCATAATTGCCTGTTTATTTGTCTAATGTCTCTACTGACCATAAGCTCCTGAGGGCAAGGGCAGTAATTTTTATCACTGTATTTCAGTGTCTATTCAATTTCAGGACATGGCAAGAACTCACAAGGACCCCATAAAAATTACATTTCATCCCCATCCTGCACAATCCTGTATCCTGCTTTGTTTTGTATTCCTTCCTGGTCTTTGTCACCAGCTGACAAATTGTATAGTTACTTGTTTGTTTCTTGCCTTTCCTCACCAGAGTGTAAGCTCCATGAGAAAAGGGATTTTGCCTGTTAGTTCACTGCTTTGTGGTGCATACTAAGTACTTAAATATTTGATGAATAAATGAGTCATTGAATGAATAAATAAGTGGCATGAGTCTATCTTTTCAGTATGGAATCTATGCATTTTTAAAATTTTACATCAAGTAAGCTAATTTAAGAATATTATATCGACTCTTGCAGGCCACCCGACCATTATTAAAATCAGAATTTTAATAAAAACAAATTTATCTCAAACATTTTTTGAATACCTTTTAGGTACTAGGAGCTGTGATTGACATAAAGACAAATAAGACCTAGTTCCTTCATTCTAGGATCCACAGTCTAGCCATAGAAGACATGATATGGTAAATGCAGTGAGAAAGATGTATATTTCAGTCTGCTTGGGCCACCATAACAAAATACTAGACAGAGTGGCTGAAACAACAGAAATTTATTTCCTCCCAGTTCTGGAGGCTAGACATCTAAGATCGAGGTGCTGACAGGCTTGGTTTCTCGTGAGGCCTCTATCCTTGGCTTGCAGATGGCCACCATCTTGCTGTCTTTTCATACGGCCACCATCTTGCTATCTCTTTACAGACATCACTGGTTTCTCTCTTCTTATAAGAGCACCAGTCTTATTGGATTAGAGCCCCACCTTAATGGCATTTTTTTAACTTAGTCTGCACTTTGAAAATCTTATCTCTAAAAATGGTTACATTCCAAGACTTCAGCATATGCATTTTGAGAGGGACACAATTCAGCCTAACACATAACAATGTGCTATACAGTTTAGTCTAAATTGTGGATTTCAGTAGTCGAGGTTCACATCCCTGGTTCTCTAGTTATTGTCTGGGTTACCCGAAGAAGGTCTTCTGAGCCTTAGGTTCCTCATTTGTAAAACACAATAGAATCTTCCTGAGGAGGATTACATTAGATAATGTACATAAAATGCCTGTGCACTCACTATGTGGTAGATATTTTTATTACTATTCCAGTAGGAGGAGATAAAATCCACTTGGGAAAGATTAAAAATTTTTTCACAAAGATACTATCATTTGAAGTAGATCTTAAAAGGAAGATAAGATTTTAACAGCAGAAATAGGAAGTCAGGGGAGGGCATTCTTAGGATGGCAAAGAATACTTCGTGGCTGTGGGGATTTTGAGGGAAGAATTGCTTGTTCAGTTTGGCCAGAGATTAAATATGTGAGAGAATTAGGATGATACACATTTGACAGAGGCAAATTGAAACCATATTAAGGAGGTCCTTTAATGTATAGTTTTCTAGGTAGAAAAGAACTACTGAATATTCTGAACAAGAGAAAACTGATTAGAATAAAGCTTTAAGAAAATTAATATAACAACTTATTTAGGTTACATAAAAGTGACATGGTGCAGCAAGTGTAACCATTTTTCTAGAATATCTGGTTTTAAAAAAAAATGCTTTTATTTATTTATCTGTTCAGCAAGTATTTATTAAGCACTTACTATCTACCAGTCCTTACACTAGACACTGGAGAGATAAATTAATGCCTGGTTTTTGTTTTTTTTTCTGCCAGGGATTTGACTTTTAAAAATAGTTTTACTCAGTAATAACTGTGTATAGTGCCAGGTAGGTACTAGACTAATTGGGGGGAATCACTTCATAAATTATAGAAATGTCTAACCACTATCTTGTACACCTGAAACTAATATAAAATAATATTAAATATTAACCATAATTGAAAAAGAAAACTCTAAAAAAATTTCTTGTAAATGTCTTTAAAAAGTAGTTTTATTTCTTCTCCTCCCAGGTTTTGAAGAAGGGCAGAAATATGCTGAGAAAACAGTGGCAAAACACAAAGAGGTTCTCGAATCTATTACTGAATTATGTGGCTCTCTCATAGAACTTGAAGAAAAGCTGAAGGTAATGTCAGCTTCCCAGAATATGTATTTTCATGTAATATAAATAAAAATGTGTTGATCAAGTATTTTCTGGTGCAAAGATGTTCCAAAGGACATTCTCAAGGGACATAATGTGAACATTTGTTTCACAGCTTTCTAACATAATTATCTGGGTGTTTCTGATAATTAATTCTGTTTCTTTTCCATCACTGCAGAGAAAAACATTGCTGAGAATGAGGGCTAAACACAATTAAGATGTTTCGTTTACATTTTCATGGATCATATTCTAAAGGATAAAAGTGTGCCATTAAAATCAAAGGAAAGTCTGTATTAAGTAGCCTTACGTTTTGGTTCATAAATAATGAATGTAAGGTTTTTTTCCTCCAAATTGTGACCCCAGAGAAAATAAAACTAATTTTCAGGTATTATATTTGTTGAACATTTAACTTCATGGAAATAGTAATGTAATCATTAACATCGTTCCTGGAGTAAAAATTGATGCTAAAATATAGAGAAAATATATTTATGGCATGTCTGGGCAAAATCCAATTGAAAGAGACATATATATAATTTTGTCTATGTCATGTCAAAAACTGCATTCATAAGTGCTTTTTTTATGGCTGAAAGAACTGGTTATTTTGAATGGAGAAAATGGCAAGATTATTAAGGGCACAGGCTCTAGAGTAAGACACAGTCGCTTAGAAATACCAACTCTCTAGATTATTGGATTTGTGATTTGGGGTAAATTACTTAATCTCTGTGAGTCTCAGTTTCCTGATCTATAAAATGGCAGAAATAGGGGAACCTAACTCCAGGGTGAAGACACCCATGATTATTGTCGTTGTATTGAGACATAGTGGTGCTCTTACAGTTCAGGGTAGAATTATTATTTCCAGCAACCATTTTTTTCTGTGTGAATTTCCATTTCATAAACTTAAATACTCATTTCATTCTAAATAGTTTGTTAACCTTTTAATTCAACCAAATAATCTTTTTCCTTTGGTTAAAAATCTAGACTTTTCAATTTTTTTAACATTTAAAATAACACTACAACAAACATTTTCATGCATATAGTTTTTTCTTTCTTTTATATTATTGCCTATGTATAAATTCTCCAAAGCAGATTTGGATAAATGGGTATGAAATTGTTAATGTTTATCTATATCCACACATATATATTATATAAATTGTTAGTTTCTAATATATATTTTTAGATTGCTTTTCATAAATCTTTATCATTATAATGCCACCAGTAATGTATGAATGTGCCATATAGCTTATATCATCCTTTCAACATTTATCATTTCCTCCCCATCTCCACACCACCTCCTGAGGATCTGTGTCTTCTGACTTTCGACACACAGTTTGCAAATCTCTGCTTCCTCTGACTCTTTGCTCTCTGTCATCCACAACATCCCTCCCATTTACGAATCTTCAAGTAAGATTCACTTAATAAAATCTACTCTCAAAGTTATCTCCATTTCCAGCTTTTCACTTTCATGGCCGTTCTTCCTGAAAGTTGTTTCCATTCTTTCTCCACACTTCCTCATTTCCCATTCCTTCTACACCCCCTGTAGTCAGGATTGCACCCTCTCCTTCTCATTCCCAACCCATTGCTTGGATTCTGTTTTGCACTAGTCAGGGGCCTCCTAATTATACACTCTAGCTAGATCACCTTTCCTAAATACAATTCTACTAGTGTCACTTTTACATTCAAAACACTTCACTACAAGCTCTTTATTGTTTAACAAATAAAATTCAGATTCAAGCCGTTCCAATGTTCTGAGGCTTCTATAGTCATCATAGGTTTGTTCCTGTCTCACTGGTCTGCTACCCCCATGTTCCCAGGTTTCCTGCTTCTAAACCTTTACTTCAAACACATGATCTTCTATCTCTGCTGATCTAAATCTTGCTCTCTCAAAGCCAAATTCTAATACTGCCTTCTCCACAACTCCTTCCTTAGGTGTTTCACCCCCTCTCTGATCTCTCAGAGCACTAGTATTCTTTCCAATCATAAGCATCATATATAGCTACCATTACCATCTCAACCCTCCTACTTGATTATATTTAAGGAAACCCCATGGCCCACTTCAGTTCAGCATCCCACATGTTTAACACAATTTGCCTAAAGTAGATTCTCCTTTTGTGAAAACTTAAGGGATTGGTATACAAAAGAATTATTCAGTAGCTCAAAAAGGTTTGATTTGGGTGGGTATAAAAATGAGGAAGGGCCTCTCTGGCAAGAAAAATAGGCATCGGCATTGCCCTTATGAGTTACAGTCCAAACAAAAGCTCATCAGAGAATGCTTACTAACACCACAGGTTTTTGCATAAGAAGCATAAATGTCTAGCTCTTATGTCTTTAAGGCTGATGCCATGGGTCTCTTTTGCAGGGGTCATTAAAAATAATAGGCCCAGGATTCCCTGTCAAGGCTGAAATAGTGATAATAATCCTTTCTATTTATTATAGCAATTTGAGATTTACAAAGTATTTTCATATATATATGAATTTTCATATATATATGTATGTGTGTGTGTGTGTGTGTGTGTGTGTGTGTGTGTGTGTGTGTATAATCACCAAGATGTATATATCAGTGATTTCCAAATAACCTTGTGGTGGAAACAAAGCAAATATTTTTTGTTTGTTTCAGAGGTGAAGTTCAAAGATTAAAAGTGCTTTGTTTAGGCTCCCATGGTTAGTAGTAGTGGATCTGGAATTCAAATTTTGATATATTCAAAATCGAATGTTCTTTCCACAACAGCTGCCATTTTGGTATTAAGTGTATTAAAATAGAGTGACTTGTCCAGTGATACAAACCAGTTTAGTTTTAGAGTTAAAACTAAAAGCTGAATATCCCCAGAAATGAGTTCCCCAAATCCTCTGAGTCAGTGTAGAATGTGTACCTTGAGGAGCATGCCTGTTTTCTTAAGGCTCATCTAATCATCTAGAGACCACATTCCAGGTGGAATAGAGAATCTTTTGTTGTAGTATAATCATCATCCTAAACTGGTGTCCTGTCACTTGGCATACCTGTGGCTTCTTTCACCTTCACAAAATCTTCTCAGCCCTCACACTAGCCCCACAGTAGTTTGCAAACCCCCTCTACCTCCATGACCAAAATGGAGCCCCATGAAATGTTGGAACAAAATATCTTCATTCACATGAAGCATCCTTTATTCTCAACTGTTTTTTTTCTTCCATAGTGATATTTCCTTCCTCTTTTCATGAGTATCCCAAACATTTTGCTTGTGTAAATTCTCTGAATTTTCTACTTTGTTCTCCATCAAAGAAGATCTTTAGTCATTTCTGCCTCATTGCTGCTCTCCCAGATACTCCTATTGGCATTATAAACTGCCACGCACAATGATTTCTTTCTCTAGAGACTGCTCCTGTAGGTGGATCCTATCGTAACAATGTATTTTTTCCTGCTGGGCCTTTGAACAACCAAATTTTTTTTTTTTTTCAGTCAAAGGAGTGAAGTATGAGGGGAACCGTGAGTATGGGGGGATAATTTTATAAATCAATCACAGGAGTACATCAGTCTCCTGTGGAATACATTTACTGAAAGGTTGCAAGTGGCCTATGTTTTCTTCCAAGTAGTTATTGTATGGCATTGTTCCTCCAACTTTCCCGGCTTAAGCTCTCACTAACCATTACTTTGTATAGCAGGGAGACGTTTTGAAAATGAATCTGAATTCGGAAGACTTCCACAATGACTGCATTGACCTACTGAATGAACCAGTGAGAAATAAGCAGATGATATTCAATGAAGAAATGAATAAGGTAAGGAAAACTGAACCTCAACTATTCACTACTTTTGTTTTGAGGCTAGAATCGTTGTGCATTGCAAAAAAGAAAAGAAAAAAAAAAGGTGAATTGAAGCCTTCTTATCTATCTGTATCGAATCTCCCAAGGTAAAGGCAGTATGAGTGTCCTCATTTCTTACTGCTTTTCTACCACTTACTTAGTCCTTCTACCATACGATATTTTCTTCTGAGCCCCTCCTAATGAATACTGGAACCATACCATTTTACAGTGACTTTGTGGCAGCCGTTCAAACACCATACTGTCACCCCAAACCACTTCTATTTCTCCTATTTTTAGCTGCCTTTCACATAGTCTTTTTATATTCAGTCCCAACTTCAGATTTCACTTCTCCCTCTTTATCATACCATCGAGCTATGATTTGGTTGTTTTACAGTACCCATTAAAAAAACCTTAATACATGAAATTAAGTTGTATCTTGTTCCCATAGAATCTTTACCTTTAAGGTATTTCCAGGCACTAAAATATAGAATCCAACAGAAATATAGGTACTAAAGTATTTAGAAAAATGTTCAAATTACTTTAAAACCTATGCATTACAGATAAATTAAGCATGTAACAAAAACTTTAAATACTCAAAAATGCAAATGTATTATGATATCAAAAGTATTATTTAAATCATTTCAATATGGATTTTTGGCATAAGTTACACACTATTCAAAGCTGCTAGACTGTAATTAGCTCTTGACTTCTTCCTTTGCCAGTTACCTTCTCCCTCTGTTTTTTCCTCTCCCAAGGAATTGAAGGAACAAGCAGAATCAACATTCTTGACTGACACAAATTAATAGAATATACTTTTTGTGACTTGAGACTTTAAAAAAAAAAAACAACCTCTCCCTTGTTTTACAGTTATCTCATGGAGAAATAGTTACCTTTTCTTGAAGTCAGTATAATTCTTAGAGCTTCATTGTAGGTCCTTTTTCACAGGTTAAATATATGCAAAGAGCTAGTTCAATTATATAACCACCTGGCATCAAGAACCATTAAGCAAGCTGCCTTTTTGTGGGGTGACCTTGATGACCTTGAGGTATTTAAACCCTGGTTCTTCCCTGAGGCAAAAGAAAGCTGCCAAACCTTGGGCATCTTGATGGATCTTAATCTCATATCATATGGTCATTGGTGACTCTGACTGATCTAAATCGGAATTTTTCAACCTCAGCACTATTAGCATTTTAGCCCAGAGAATTTTTTGTTGTGGGGGACTGTCCTGTGCAATGTGGGATGTTGACCAGAATGTATGGCCTCTACTCACTAGATGCCAGTAGCAGCCACCCTGTCCAGTCATGACAACCAAAAAAAAGTCTATAAAATTGCTAACTACTCCCCGGGGAGCAAAGTCAACCTCTATTGAGAACTGCTAGTTGAAATAATAAAGAATAATATTAAGTGGATCACATTGTCTTAACTATGTTTCTAAGAGACACTAAACCCAACTTATTTTTTTAATTCTGCACATTTTTTTACATTGTCAGCCACACACATTTACTAAGGTTAGAAATGAAAGTTATTGCTACCAAAGCAAACTGACTCATTTATATTTAGTAAAAATGGTTTTTCTTGCTTTTATTTATTTTTCTTATAGGTTATTTTATAGGTCAAATATAATGATTCCCAAAAAAAACATGTGGGCAGATATTGAGAAACACCATGTGAAAAGCTTGTCTGGGAATCGCTTAGTTCAATTCTGACATCCTTAAATAGTGTCGATCTTCCTCAGAAAATGATTTAAATAAGAAAGAAGGATTCCATAAAACTATTACAAGAATGTATTAATCACAAGATTTTATCCTGAAGATAATAAAGTGCTTCTCATTTTTCTGACCCAAAATTGCAGCAGATAGAATTAGTCAATTCGGTAAATGCAATCAATGCTCATTGCACTGCTAACAGATTAGTGATGTTTTATGCCCAAAGTGAGGTCCGTAGCTAAATCCTCAGGAGTACGTGAACACTCCTAAGGTTAAATGGAGGCACAGAGTATTAAGAGACTTGCCTAGAGTCACTAACTATTAGGTAGAAGATGAAGGCTTGCGATGCCAGTGATTAGAGTTACAGAATCTTACCACTAGAAGGGATTTAACAATCATCTGATCAAATCTCATTTTACAGTTGAGGAAATTGAGGCCAAAAGAGATTAAATATTATGCCCTCGAAAAATTACAGAAAGTACTGTCAGAACTGGGCAGGCAGCCCAGTTCTCCTGAATTTCAGCCATATAACTTGTTCTACAAGACCAAAGGGACGCTCCAAGGAACTGTTGCATATAAATAAGCTGTTTTGTAATGAAACTGTAAATTCTCATGCCAAACCATTCCCCTCTTTGCATTCATCTGTTTACGTGATGATTAACAAAACAATGGTGTGGAAGTATTTTTAAACCAAACAATTTAGTAGAGTGCTCTTATCAGACCAGGTGAAGACAGTCCCTGAGACCTTCTCCTTTAATCCTGATCACTTGGTAGGTGGTGGTGGGATGGAGGAGAGATGTTCTTGAGACATTTGCTTTGGAAAAAATTAGGTAGAAGACAAAATAGTCTTCTTCATCTTTCTGTTCTCTTTTACCTTGTCTGCTCCATGTGCCCAAAGGTACCAAGTCACCCCTTGTTTGCCCAAAACCCCTTCCAAATTCCCAGAAATGCATTTCATAGGCCAAGACCTATGTTCAATATCTTCCTACTTACCTTCATTTAATTTTCTTTATCACAAGATAAGATTATTTTGGAAGGTAAAGTCTTGTGGCATTTCTTTAAATTTACCACATAGATGGCTACTCACCCTGAGTACTTTGAGGATTGGTGCTGTACACTTAGTTCGATGGCTGTAGAATATCATTATGTTCTCTCTTCTAAATATTGTTTGCCTTCATGGCGATGATTGTAAATCCAAGTGATTATCTTCATCAGTGGAAAGTTCAGAAATCTGGACCGAGATAAGATTTGAGGCTATAGATTTAGGGTTAATTAAAATTTAACTGATCACAAGATATAAAAGTGGGTGAGATCTTTGCAAGGAGAAGCATATAGAGAAAATTAGGGAACTTAAAGACAAGATCACACATTATTCATATATTTAGAAGGTGGGAAAAGAAAAAGGAATCAACAAAAATGTCAAAGAGCAAACAAGGCTATAAGAGAAACACATTGAGAGTGAGCTGTGATTTTGTGAATTAGAATTAGATCAGAGTTTCCCAGCCATTTTGCCAGAACCCATCAAATTGATGCCTTATCTGCACAGAGATATGTAGATTTATCTACCTTTTTCTAGAAACATACACATACACTTTTTTTTCTACTGATAGCAAAAAAGTTTTCATGGTGGGAAAATGTGAAAAAATAGTTATTATATGTGAATGTTAGTGAACAATTTTCATAAAAGAAAACTAGTAGACCCAGTAAAGTATAGCTTGGTGGGTTTTAAAAGAAATTTTTTGTAACATTCCATAATGACTAAAAAACTGAAAGCTAATTTACATTTGAGAATAAAAGCAGAAATGTCAAAAGCCAAGATGGATCTACTCAAAAAAAACTTGTATTAAACTCATCTTACTTTGCTTTCTGAGATGATTATTTAATAGGTAATTCTAGGTTAGTGACATAGGCAAAACTTATTATTGTCATTAGGAAGTCACTGGATAACCATACTCCTGATATCTCTCTTAAGATGAAGGGAGAGATGTGAACCGAATGAGAGTTTGGTCTGGTTATAATTGTACCTAAGAGTGTTAAGTAGTTCATCAATGTCAACCTGGAAGACAGTTTACCTTTTGAGAGGAGACATCTGGCTTTGTCCTAAACTCTGCAGTGTTCAGCATTATCAGTGGTATTATTGGGCAGAGGAAATGAGAAATTTTGGTTGATTAAAAACTCAATATGAATCAATAGTCCTATGTGGTTCTCATAAAAACAAAAACACTAACGCAACCACTTTAGTAAAAACATATCATATATAGATTGAAGAGATGATGGTTCAACTGATTACTTCCCATCTGGAAAGTAAAAAAATTCTGAAAATAAACATAGTTATGGGAAAACATTAATAAGTTGAAAATTGTCTAAAAAATTTTTGAGAAAACTCTTCCTCTTATTGTTAGTAGAAGTCATCTGGTATTTTCTGTGGAAAGTATTTTTCTACTTTAGGAATTATAGGAAGGAATTAAAGGAATGAAAAATAATATCCTTGAATTTTCTTTTTGAGTTTGACATCATCTGAAAATGAGACACAGGAGTCAGAAATTAATAACCAGTAAAAGCCGGACTAGAGGATATGCCATAGATGTATCTAGTGGGTTTCTCAAAACTTCATCTCTGATTTAGGTGGACTTGTCTACTCACCAACACGGGTACATAGCTAGGAAACCACAGGCACCTCTGCAGGGGTTTTTCATACCTTATAGCCAATGCGAATGCACCTATTTGGTAGAAAGGAGATCCAAAAGAGAGGGCATCACAGAGACAGAACTGGCCAGGCTCATTCTCTTCTTCCAAACCCACAATTAGATAAGTCAGTTCACCCCAGGAAGGAGTGGGGGAGACTAGCCTGTACTTTTATTCAAGTTTCCTAAGTTTTTTGACAAATTTCAGACAAGTTTAAAACATTATTATTCTTTAGAAAGGCATAGGTTACCTGAAGTCAGTAAGGAGCTGCCTGTCCCTGTATGACCCTTAGATCAACAAATGTCCTTGCTTTCCTGTGAAGCAGATTGTAGCCCAGTAGGAGCGGGACCTCCCAGAAGGTGACCAGGATGATGAAAGTTCCAGGAGACAATCCGGGGTTTATGGGAGAGAGAGGGGTTAGTACAAAGAAAGAGATTGAGAGGTTGCAGGACCAGTTCTCCAAATAGTCAAAGGGCCGCTGTAAGAGGGGAGCAGGTGGACACCTTCTCTGTTACTCCGGGAGGCCAGTTCAGATCATTGGTGGGTAGTGAGGGGAGCAGACCTTTGCTAAATATAGGAAGATGTTCTTAACACAAGTAAAACATAAAAGTATTTTCAAAAAAGCACTCTTTCAGAAAAAATGTTCAAACAGGCTGCCAGAATGTCAGAGGAGATTTTTAGACTAAAAAGGAAGTTGGGACAAAGTCCTTATGAAAAGGAAAATAAATATTCTACTTTCAAGAAGAGATCAAAAGAAAGGCAAAACTAAGCTGTAGTAAGGAAAACCAAAAGACGGAGGGGCATTCCTACTACATATGTGTTTATTTAGTAATTGTTTTTAAATGAGAAGGACTTTTAAGAACTCTGGCTTATAGACTGAGAATTTAAACTTTTCTCAAATGGGTAAATGAACCACTTTCTCTAAGCTGTGTTTATGTTTTCTCTAAAAATAAGTCATATCTGTGGGATAGTCGAAGGAGCATTGTTTTATTTCTACTTCTAATCCTCAACCTAAAAACACATTTCTTCCTCAAAAATCACTTTTAAAGTATGTCAGGAGCCAGACTATGTGCTGAAACAAAGAACTCAAAGTCTAGGCAAGATATAATTTTCTTATGTGCAATCAGTAGCAATTGGACAAAGACCAGTGATTGTTAATTAAGCAAAAATGCTGCCTAAATGCTGAGGAAAGGCACAGAAATAGGTAAATGTAAAACAAGCAGGTTGGGATAGATGAGATCCTTTTCAGCTTCAATGCTCTTCTGAGTCTATGCCAGATGGTATATTTGAGCCTCTTCTTAAACCAGAGATGGACATGGATTAGTGTGGAGAAATAGTAGAATAGTGTTAGCATGAGGCAATGTACTGCTATTCGGTCTCCTAGCAGGACCTACACTCCACATGGGACAGAAAGATAAGTGGCAGGCCTTCTATTGTATCTTGGTGTGTTCTTTTGTGAAAGGTCATAACGTGATTTTCCATTAATATCTCCGTACCACACTAGACTATCATCTTTGTGAGGGTGGAGACCGTATTTACTTTTACTCACCATTTTCTCTCTCCAATGCCTTGTACCTGGTATGTAATAGGTGCCCAGAAGATATTTTTCAATGTAAGAATGAAATTAAGGGATTTTAAGAAAATAAAATCAATCATTTAAAAATGGCTTTCTCTATATGAAGTACCTAGAGTAGTCAAATTCATAGAGACAGAAAGTAGAAGGGGTTGGGGAGGAGGGAGAATAGAGAATTCATGTTTAGAGGGTACAGAGTTTTACTTTAGAAAGATGAAAAAGTGTTGGAGATGATTAGTGGTGATAGTTGCGCAGCAATGTGAATGTACTTACTGCCACTTACCTGTACACTTAAAAATGGTTAAAATGGTAAATTTTATGTTATCTATATTTTACCACAATAAAACATAAAATAAAAAAGAATGACTTTCCTGGAAAAGGAGAGGGGTAATTCTAGTAGATTCTGAGGGATTGCCTAACGAGCAAGCCTCTGATTTGTTTTTTAGATTTAAAATTTTTTTAATTTCATTAAATTTATTGGAGTGATATCAGTTAATAAAATTATATAGGTTTCAATGTGCATTTAAGAACTGTGTTCACCTGAAGTGTAGACAAAAAAACCAAAGTAGAATTTGCTGGTGGAAGGAGACTCCTCAGATAATGATTTGAAAAGACAATTTATCCAGTCCGACTCTTCATTAGAGGTGATAACTAGAACTGTCCCTCTTCCATTTCACAAGGTCTATCACATTTCACTCAGAGACTGGAGGTCAGTTTACTGATTCCTTAGTCATAGGACAAGACTAAGCCCAGGTTAAATAGACAAATGGTTTCAAGTTCTGTAATGTCTGAGCCAGGGCCCCAAGCTTTAAATTCACTATAGTGCTTTTCTCAAGTTGTTTCTCAAGTTGAGTTTGAGATCTGGAAAAAGAAAACTCAGTGACTAACTCAAAGCTTTGGCTTTTTTGTTTGAAGAAGCAGGAGCATGTAGCAGATATTTTGACCATCAGTGGAACAGGAGAGGGTCGGCTTCCACAGGACCTGAAGCAGCTATCCTCTGGCAAAGAGGGTGGCATCCAAGGCCTGCTCCAGCCTGCAGACATGCTTTTACGAGAAGAACATGAGTGTGTCTCACCTGATGACATCTCCTTGCCTCCACTCCCAGGAAGCCCTGATTCCCCCCTCATACTGTCTGACATGGAGGTGGAAGAGCATGCCAGTCCCTCCCTCAGCCTTCACATAAGCAATTACAGGATGCAGATGGGGGCTAGCCGTCCAGGGGAGGCCCAGGAATGTGACCTTCCACCACCTGCTGCTTTTGCTGATACTTGCAATGATAAGAGAGAAATATTTTCAAGTCATTTTGAGAGGCCTTACCCTCAGTTCAAAGCTGAGCCCCCATCAACCTCCAGAGGGTTTCTGGAAAAGAGTACTGCCATCTGCGAAATCAGTGCCGGACATCCAGAGAGCATGTCGAGTGAAGTGCATGAAAGAGCTTTACAGCAGCACCTGCAGGCTCAGGAAAGTTTGCTAGAAATACAGGAGAAAATGCATGTTGATAATAACGTCACTAAAACCCAAAATAGGCTGCATGCTTCCCAGGATGCATACTCGGGCCTCAGGTTTCAATCAGGCCCCAGCCTGGCCTATCAGAGGCAAATAGTTTCGCAAGAAGAGATTAAAAGTACATCAGCAGAAAACAGCATGGTCAGCTTAGCTGGCCAGGCACCTAATTTCTCCAGGCTCCTGTCTAATGTAACAGTTGTGGAAGGATCTCCAGTGACTTTGGAAGTTGAAGTAACAGGATTTCCAGAGCCTACACTGACATGGTGGGTAGCCTATAATGACAAGCCATAAACAGAAACAAACTGAATACTGAGCAAATCATTCATGTGCCCTAACTTAAAAGTTCAGGCATAGCTGATTAATATTCTGCGACACTGCAACTCTGCATGATTCAACCTCACATTAAACCCCCAAATCTCATTTTAGTAGCAGCATGACTAATACCTTGAAGAAAAAAAAAATAACCATATAAAATAATAACTTAACAAACTCCAAAGACGCTGCAGCTTAGTTGTTTGTTTTTTTTTGTTTTCGTATCGGTTTAACATTCCACATTTCGAAAGATAGTGGGTTGAAATTCTTTTCTATTGTTTATTTTTACATAAGCATGAAATTTTCTTGGTTTAGCATCCCTCATTCAATTAAAAAACATAAGAATTTGGGTGTTTCCCTTTTCTTTCATTTACCTCTTTTCTCTTCCCAACATGCTACTTTTGCAGTGTTTGTTTATTTCACTAAGATTTCTTTTTATAAATTTCTTCATTGTGAGAGATGGAATAAAAATATTTCTTTCACAGTTACTCCCAGTGACAGGTAATAAACCCATTTTTGAAAGGTGGTATAGTAACTGAGCTGTGAACAATATGATTTCACTCTGGAGACATTACTTTTTAGCCCATTTGTTTTGATAAAAATAAACTGCAGAATACAGGCTTTGAATCACCTACTGTTGTTATAGAAGCAAATCTGACTTTCTCAATTCTTGGGTTACTTTTAAACATTTAGAAAATTTTCATTTTAAGTAGATTTATTTGAGGACAAAGTTTTAAATTCGTGGAAATGGGTTTATACTTTTAAATTAAGATAAGTAAAATAACATTATTTATCATAATGTTTTAGTAGATGTTAAAATAACAATTTAAATTATTGCATATGCCCATTGATAATACACAAAGTGTGAATTGGTTAGCTAAAGAACCTATGAGAAAACTGGTTTCTCAGATTATTAACAGAGACTACATTTGTGCTAAATGCTGCCATTTATGCTTTTTATTTTTTTGTTGTTGTTTTTACCATTGCATGCTTTTTTATAGATCAGGAATTTTATATTTATGAATTTAAAAGATATTTAATTCATTATTAAATATCAGTTCACCCCAAAGAAAAATGTTGTCTGAAGTATTTCTTATTTTTGTTCACACAGCCAACGACTTGGTTAGTAAATATTATTGAAAAACTATTGCAACTATAATATTGAAGAACAATTGTGAAAAAAAATATCTTGCCTTCAGATTTAAAATTTTACTCAGTTAACAACTGGCAAGCTATCAGGGAATCATACATTTGTAGGACGTTCATAAAAATGCGAAATTATCATTTGGGCAATGAGAACAGAAAATGATTCAAGTTTGTCATCACTTGTGTAGTAGAACGTGAATATAAATAAATAAACTAGAATCTAGAATATATAAAATAAACAAATTATTTGCTTTATAAAAAGGTGCAGCTAAGTGTTCATGTTCGTAGGAAACTTTGAAATATGTCATTAATGGTAATATTCCAATTGCATAAATGCCTTTTATAATTAGAAATCGTTTTCTTCTAATGAAATTAATTCACAAAAATTAAATGAACTCATTTCTCCAGGAAATGCTGTATAACTATCTTCCTCTACAACAGCACATAGGTATTCTTGTGTGGCTCTTATGGGATGAATATAATGGGGCAGATGAGTCTCACTCCAATACAAAGTCCAGCAGTCACAAGCTGCTGTTCCATAGCAGCTGAAAGAATGACGCAGGCCAAATAGGAGGGTGCCATTTCATATTCTAGATAATTGCCGTGAGCAAATGGTGGCCCAGTGTGACCAGATGGTCTGGTTTTTTTAAGAGTAGTTGGATATCTGAATTTTCTCATGCAATATTCCAATTGTTAAATGCTGTCAGAAAATTCAGTTTTTTAAAAACATGATCTGAGCCAATCCAGCACTTCTCCGTCCACCACCTGCCAACCTCTGCTTGGGGGATAAACAACTCCATTGGAATTCGTGGTGGCTGCAAAGTTCCTCACACTAGAGAATATTGCAGTGGTAATGGGCCTCTTTGTAATGGTTTTTAAAAATTGGATATGATATGAATAATATCCAATTATTGAAACAGTGATCCTGATTTTAAAAACTGACTCTCTGCTTCAGGTACAAGAAGGGCCAGAAATTGTCTGCAGATGGACACTTACAGGTTTTACACAAGGAGACAAGACATTCGGTGTTCATTCCGAAGGTATGCGGGGCAGATGCAGGCCTCTATGTGGCTCGGGCCCAAAACTCTAGTGGCATTCTCTCTTCCAATGTCATCCTCCATGTGACAGGTAACCGCAGGCCACCAATCACGAGAATAAACTGGATAACACTGTGTGTCATCTATGTTAGTGTGTCCCTAATATACTGGCTGCTCGCACAGTAACTGTGGGATTGGCATCCATGGACATTATTCTCACAAGCCTAAAGGACAATACAATTGTTTATTTTCCTGCATCTCCCATAAAGCATCCCTTACCAAGTGTACCTCCATCCCAGCCATATTGCTTGTTGGCTAATAGCACTGTTCGGTGAAATAACCCAGTTTACTTTAGTACTTTAATCTATTTGAAGAGCTTGGTAAATTATTTGCAGTGGATAATGATACATTTTTGTATTCTAGAAAGAGATGTGTTTAAAATAAAACAAGTAAAATTATGCTATTTATTCCTTCCTAATTTAGGAGCATGCAGATCAAGACTCACAGCATAGAGATGTGAGTCAAATTTCAAATCCAATTGTTTGAAAATTTATTTTTAATTGCAGTCATAAACATCTTTGTAGAATAACTGTAGAAATATTGAACTGAAGTAGTAATTTTTATTATTGTATTAAGTGTCCTTTAATTTTTGTTTCTTCTGTCTTGTTCTCACTTACTGTTATACATTCTACATGGTTTCAACATGGCCTACATTCCTGAGTCTGAGGATGCCGCTGAAAATAATCATTCCTCATATTGCTCTCATGGGTTTGGCATTGGGAAGTAGATGTACCCCTTAACTTTATATGGAGTTTTAAACTTCTATCAGCTATGCATGTCATAGAGCAAGATGGAACACAGGCCATGGATATGGACTGACCTTATTCCTGTCATTCCGTTGACGTTTTAGGCAGCCATGCATATAAAACTTCAACCAATTTCTCCTGCTTCTAATCTTGATTCTGTTGCTGACCAATTTTGCGGCATATAGTAAGGCATCTCAGTGCCTCAGTTTCCCATTTGAAAAACGATTCATCATCTACCTCGGGCAAGTGAGAGTTTTCATTTCGTATCCTATAAAGATCTGGAAAATGAAAAGCGTGCTATAAAGACTAAGGGTAATTATATTGTTTAATGTAATCTGTCATAACACTGCCTCCTGCTCACTATGTCTCTTTCAGATGTTGTTTTTTTAGAATATTAAAATTAAAGGAGTGGTGTTAGTATGTAACCTCCAACTATTTCCACTTGAGAAAATGATGTTTTATGAATTGGAACTTAAATTTCTAATTTCTTAAGATGATATCCTTTTCGAAGACTTGAAATTAAACTCAGGAGGGTACATTTAGTATGATTTAGGAGGAAAAGTGTATAGTAAAGTAATATAAGATGAATTCTATCCTTTCTTATAATTATCACTGTAATAGCATAGAATGTTTTATGCCTTTCTGAAATATATTATTCAAAAAAGATTATCTTTCTGACTCCTTTTTTAAATGAATATGAATAAAGAGAAGCATTCGCTCATTAGATTTTAAGCATAGTCATGGATTGCTAGGGTAAAAGTCTTTAGTTGAAAGAATAATTTATTATAGTTGTTTTGATGAAGAGAAGGAATTAATTATGTTACTATAAGACTGTCTACAAATAATAAAAATATTTAAATGTAATATATTCAAGTCGATATTAAAAAATTATTAAATGTTATCTGAAGACGTAAAATCTGGTTGCATAAAAAGTTGGCATATTTTTTCATGTGCTACATATTTAATTTAATTAAAATATTAAATCTCTTAATTTGCTTCCATATTTTGACAGCTTACATATACAGCATCCTAGGGAATTGATAGTTTCTTAACTCTCCTACCCTTTTTTTCCAGTTTCAAGTATTTTGCATATCTTGCCTAACTGCTCTTCCCATGTTACAGCTAAAGGGTGAGACTTATTCATGTCCAAAGAGAGTAGGCAGAGCCAGGACAAATTCTTATCCACCCTCTATCTCTTGTTGGTTTAGTGAGATCTTCTTTCCCATTTTCCCATCACCTTGGTTGAATTTGTGGTATGGGGTTGTTAGGGCATGGGAATTGCTGGTTTGTTTTACCTGTTGCATGCCAGTTAATGTTAATCCTTTAAGGAGTAGGGCGAGATTATACATATATTCATGGTATATGAACAAATAAGACATATAAAGCCCCTGATATATTTATATATATCAAATGTAAAAATATGAATATATATACAGAGATATATATGTACATATATACATAGATATTTTTCTTGGGGAGAAATATTACGCTGATATTCAATATATCAGGTAGCTATCTGTGTATCTATCAGTGTCTATCTGTCTGTCTGTCCATCCATCCATTCATCCATCCACCAACCTGCCTACCTATCTACCTATATTTTCTGGGCTATCAGCTGACAATCTAATAATTCCCACAGCAGTGAAGAATAATTCACCAATCTCTTGTTTTCTGGTTATATTTTATTTTCAAAGACTTAAGTATGGTTTTCCTTTTTGCTATGATTTCTGTCTTGATCAAATAATTCCCCTTATGAAAATATGAAGTAAAATTATTGGTTAAAAAGAAAAAAAAAGCAGAAAATTCAAATGGTGGTTCTATTCTAAGGTATATACATGGTTTATATCCACTTACTTGTAGAGAAAATTATGTAGAGTAATATAAAAACACTTTAACAAGAAAATGAAAATGAAAAGAAGGATTAAAGAGAGTGTATACTTGACACCTTAAAGGAATGCAACACAAAATGTATGTTGAGCTTCCTATAAGGCAAAATCACTGAATTTTCCAGTTCTGATTTTCTAATGAAAGGATATATTAAATATTTGGTGGTAAAGTTTTTTTCTCACACTGAATTCCAGGAGAAATTTGCCATATAAGCCCTTACATTTGAATTCTGTATATTTTATAATATCTAAAATATCTGGAAAAAGAAGCAGGAAAAATTTAGCTACCTCAGTTAATAATGTTAAAATAGAGTACTTTGAGAACCTTCTAATTGCTTCACTTAAGTTTAAATTCCTTCAAGTAATATACAAGTCTCTTTAGTACCTAGCCTCCTGTTTCCAGCTTCTGTTCCATCCCATCTGATCCCCCCACAAAGCAAGATTTAACTTTAGGTTTTCCATGCTCTTTCTTGTCTCCAGAACTGCCTTACTATAGTCTCACCCTATCTGCATACGGCTTAACTCCTGCTTATTTTTACCAGTTCCATTTGAGACATAGTGTCCCCCAAGGAAGGCTTCTGACCCATCAAGTTGAGTGTAGATGTTCCTGCTATATGTGCTGTGAGCAATAGAGCTGTCCATGTCATGTCTCTTAATACATAGCATCAGAATTATATGTTTGAGTGTCTGTTTCCTCTGGCTAGAGTGTGAGACCCTTATTGGCAGGATCTTGACAGCCCTGTTTGTCATCATACTCCCAGCAGTTAAGATGTAGTCACACTTAGTATTATATTTCTTGAGTTATTGTCAGAGGTAAACAAAGATAAATTAGCTTGTTTTCTTCTTTTTCTTTTTCTTTCTTTTCTTTTCTTTTTTTTTTTTTTTTAAGGACTGGGTGTTGGAGGATAGGGAGGAGGTTAGACCAGAGGAAACACAAATGACCCTGAGCCCTGCCCTGTGTTTTTTTTCTTTCTTTTCTTTCTTTTTTTTTTTTTTTGAGAGAAAGTGAGATGGGGGGATATAAAAAGAGAAGGATGTATTTGTTACCTGATTATTCTTACTATTAACATTAGCCATAATCAGTTTCTATCTGTGAAATACGTATAAAACACTTTCACCTAATCTACAAAACTTAAGTGAGAACCCTCCAGACCCTCTGGCTTAGACCCTGATTGAAAGTTTAAACTTAAAGACAGATGCTGGCTCTAGTGGTCAAAATAATACTGAGGAGAGAAGAGGCAAAATCCAGGACTATTGTTCCAACATTTTAAAGCAGATATAATTAAGCATAAATCATTTTCAGGTGTAAGTGGAGAAGTGGGTGTCTCCACTCTCAGTGACTAACTGCCAAAACCAGAATTTATGTACTTCTTTTGAAAAATACACAAATTATCAATTTTTTATTGTAGCTGGGGCTCAGTAATCTGTTTGCAAACAGATCTTATTTGAAACCAGCATTTTGTTCATACATGTAAATATTTTAAAAAGCCAAATCCAAGAACTTAGATTATTTGAATTCCCAGTGAAAGAAGGAAAGGATATTGCATCTGATTCCACTTTGTTTTTATTCATGACTGTTCCTTACTAAAAAGCGCCATCTGAAGCTTTTTGACATTCCTGTCGTACATACAGTATTTTAAGAGTGTCCATGAAATGAGTTAGTTGAAACAAAATACCTCCTCCTAGTATACTCTGTTATTGTGCTTGTCAGTGCAAATACCAAAGCATGACAGACTGTTTTCCATTTATAATAGCAGAATCTGGAGCTGCATCAGAGAGCCAGCCAAAAGGTTTGCATTCACTAAGTGAAAGTGTCCTCCTTAAAGCAACAACAGTTTATTTTCTCTGCTCTGATCACACGAGATGAGATTTGAATGTTATCAACTGTGTAAAAATTCAGCTTCAAAGGGAAAGCACAAAGCTACTAATCTGCCCTTTACCCGTGAATCCCCACACCACCGTTCCTGGTGTTGGTGAGAGTGTAACATCGTGAACCATCTAAGCTGTGATGGTGACGTCTGGATGCATGACATTCCTCCAGATGAACAAGCAGTCTTTGATTCTGGAGCTGGAGTGTTTGGCCAGGTGGCTCTTCCTTTTCTTCAACAATGATTTCCTCCTTTTTACAAAATAACAAGATTTTTCTTTCCTTCTTAAAATAGGAGGATTTATGTTTTCTCCTTTTATCAAGGAAGATTTAAAAATTCTTTTTATACCATAAAATTTACACCCTATCCTCCTTAAAAGACAAGGGAACAGAAAGAATTGTATAGAAAAGAATGTTTGGATACAAATATCTCCATTTAGCACAATAAAAACTTGGGTGAAATTGAAATGTTTTAACTATAGAGTAGCTAGAAAACATTGATCCAGCCTGATTTTTCTTTAAACCAGAACAATAATAGTTAACATAATTTGAAGTTTTCAATCTGTATTTGCATAGCTCCTGCTATGGCTTTTTTTTCCATTTAGAACCCATTTAAATCAATATTTGTGAAATAACAGCTCCAGAGCTAGCTAATAAAATAAACT